TAAAATTTTACATTCTATTCATATTTAAAAGAACTAAATGTTGAACTAGAACTTATGACCTTTTGCTGATTGCTGAAAAGTAAATTTACAACAAAAATTGATGAAAATAACATAAAAGTAAGTACAAGGCATATGCCAAATTCTACATGGTAAGTGGTAAATATTAAGTATTAATAATAATTCTCAAAGCACATATTTCCAGCAATTATTTGAACAATTTTAACCTTTTAAATTGGCTTGATATTTAGTATAATATGGTTTGCTCGAAACATGAAAAAGATTCAATAATAAAAATTAACTTAAACATTATTTAGGTTGTGTGTAGAATATCTCTCTATTATTGTTTCAAATATTGTAGATTAAACTGTAAATTGGTCATGTCATGACAAGTTTTTCAAACTAATTTGATTTATGATTCTATCATAGACATTTCACAAAAATGGGCAGGCAATAAAAGTTCCAACAAAACTGTACCTGTAAAAACTAATCATCATTTTTACATGGCTTGTGAGTTCCATCATTGTAGAGAATTGAATTCAAAGAAGTTTTGTAAGTAAATGGGGAGAAATCTATATAATCAAAGAAAACCAGTTTTTTTTAAATAAGGTATGTAATTAGGTGAAAAGCAATAATTAAATTGATTATGTTGTAGACTTGAATCAATTAATTACCATTTCATACTGTTGCAGATGAATGATTGCACCTCTTCAAGTTCTACAGAATTATTAAATGAAGGAATCTGCTTCAGAATTGCTGACTGCATGTCGCTGCAACATCTGTGCTACAAAGTTTGACTGTTTAAAATATTGTAATCCTAAACTAAATTTTGAAAAATAACTTATTATATGGAGTAGTTTAACCGCAAATCTAAAAAAGAGTCACCATGTTGCAGGAAATGCACTAGCATAATAACTATATTAATGTCAATATTGATATATAGATGTGTAACCTATACATTATTTATATTATAATTTAGTGTTTTATATTAGTTTGATGTTAATATTATGACAATTTTTAGAAATATGTATTAGACTTTAATATAAAATATACACTAACATAATAAGATTTTCTCGAAATTGGGAAATGCAGTGTATAGAAAATAAAAATATACTAAAATATAGGGAATTAAGTATCAAGTACAAAAGATTAAAAAAAATACCATTTAGTGGAAAATATGAAACAAAATTAATTTATTAAATTTGGATTTTACAAATATCACAACTTATTATATATCTTAAACATTTTTTGAACTAAGTAATAAAAAATAAACAGAGATTGTATACAATTTTCTTACAAGTAATTTAAATTTCAACACAGGTACTTTTCGCCAAAATATGCCTCCTAAGCTCATTATTTTTCCTCGTTAAGGAATCTATAGGTTACACATCTATGGAGAATAGTAATAACAAAAGAGTTAAAATGCGGAATCTTTAGGTTCATGATAATTTTATGAATTTATTTGAGAAGTAAAACTTAAATATTGTATTCTATTTTTACAGTACATAATATTTAACATGACTTGTACATTTGCAATGTTTTGATAGGAAAAGTTTGGATTAGGGGACTATTTGGAGCGTCGGCAGTGCAGTTGGCGCTTGACCGGATCATATTTTACATATCCAGGTACGATCTCCGCTATATACTATATACTATGAGTTCTTCGAATTTCATGATAACATCCATCAGACATTCAAATTACAAATTGCATATAACTGCATGGAAATTCAAAGATATGTGCGAAGTCAACCAACCCTCACTGGCTCTGCATTGTTGAATAAGACCTAGTCGCATTCTTGAGGGTAGGCTCCGAGCTCCTCAGTGGAGTATAGTGTGTCCGTATAGTGAGCTTGATGATGACGATTTGTTTTGATTCAATGCATATTGTCTTGTTAGCAATTTTCTAAATATTTTACCAACAGAGAGGAGCTAATCTCTTTCCAGTGTTATTCTATTTCTCAAGACAAGAGTGGCACTACTACTCCAGTTCTTTCAGAAAATATGATCTATCAAATAAACAAATTGGAACAAATAAGCATTTATTAAAGTTGGGGTATTTTGTTGGTGAACTAAACAATAATGGTATTATTTCGAAAGCAATGAGCATTATGTTGCGTTCTTAAAATATGTTCGCTTTAGTCAGAAGATTAAATAAAGTTGCAATTAACGAAATTGTTTTATTTTTCTAAAATTGTTTTCCCTCGAATAATACTTTCAAACGTCAAAACGGAAATTGACAGATTGATTTTTTTAGGTTGGTAGCAACGTAGACTTGTTCATAATATTGCTAGCATTGAAAATGTCAATTTTTATTCTCCGTTTGTGTATCTAATTAGTCAAGAGTCCCGTCTCTTATTTTATATACTCTTTGGTCAGTTTTATTCATAACCATAGACTTCAAATTGTCATATGTTTTATTTATGTAGGTTACTCTCTAATTTATGGTTTGATTGGGTGTTGAAGTGTTTGTTGAGTGTTGATTTCAAGAACGGTGGCTGCGGAATGCTGTTTATTATTATTAATTTCTAATTTGTGTTCAAATCTAACTTGACATCGATAAGGTAAGTTTTATATTATATGTACATATTGATCGTCATATTCCCATCATTCCGCAAGATATTTCTAATTTCTGTCATAAATAAAAAGAGTAAGCATTACGCATTTTATATCTTTATGCGCATTTTGCAATTTCTTCCTTAAATACTAATCGAATAATATTGCGTTGCGTCTATCCTATTTTACAACGTGTTACGTTCGGTGTCGTTTACACGCGGATCTAAAAATGTTACCGAGTCGCCTGATGTATGCTAAGACGCAGACGTTAGCGGCCCATCTAAATATGGAACGGATGGTTGACGGTCGTGTTAGTGATGTCCTCCGTGTCGTTTGTCCGCGGTCCCTGCAGTTATGTAATGTCCCTTTGAGGTCCGCGTCGGCACGTGCACAAATTGCACGTCGTAGTTCCACGTAGCTAGCTCGGCGCACGTCGACGCGCACGCGGTAGCACTCTGAACCCCAGTTTCCTAGCAACACGTTGTTGACGCCACTGCTGACCTAATGAATACAAAAACACATGGTAATTATTGTTACATCACATCACCTGATACGCGTAGTTATTTTCGAGAGTCACGCTGTTTTCTAGATGTATCAATATCAAATAAACAATTTAAAGTGAATATTTATGAAGATATAATTGTGTCAAGTGAGTGAGTTATAGACTGTTTGGATCTGTTTGTCCTTGTAAGTATTTTGTTAAGCTTCTTTGACCTTTATATATAATCATATATGATATCAAATAATTATGTATAATTAAACATTTTGTGTGTAGTGTCTCTGATTTTAATAAGTAATCAGAGTAACCAGTTATAAATAGAATCTAGACCTTAGCGTGGCCCAGTTTTCACTTCACACTTCCTATTTGAATGCTAAAAATATACCGTCTCAGAAAAACAATATACCAGTTACTCAATACTCATTTATCAACTTTTAAGACAATCACATAGAATAATTTCAGTAAACTGGAAAGACTAAAAGCATTTTACAACAAACCATGACTTAAGTTTATTAATTAAATAATAATTTATTTGCTTTTTTAATAATTCAAGTTTAAAATTATTCACAAATTGTTTTGATCTTGGTTTTACCTCCACCTGTATACTATATATCTATATATGAAATTATATCAAACATATCAAGGTCACATAATCAGCTGCATGATAACTGCATTCTAATTTATCGAATATATAATTTTTATTACATCACTATAAAGTAAAGTTTAAAAAAAATATATAATAAAATTATAATATTTTAAATGTCATTGGTAGACAATTCCTACCTATACCAAAAGGTTGTCCTATTTCAGGCAAAATGAAAGTAAATTTGTATTAAGTATGATTAACTGTTCCATTATACATTGTGATTTTTAATGTACTAAATTGAGAAATTATCTAATTAGAGAGGAGGAAGTCTGCAGATTTTATAGAAATCTGTCCATTTATAACCTGTATTTGCTCAGTTTTGTGCTGTGTAAGAAAGTGATTGATTAATGTTAAACAAGTGAGTTACTGATGGCATGGTGTCTTAATTGTTTATTATCTACATATTTTTTAACAACCTCTAAGTTCTCAGGATATAAAAATCATACTTAAACTGAGCATGTTATTGCTAATATAGAAACAATAAAACAAGTTACAGTCATTGTATTAGGTCCATTTACTACTTTTTTTTTTAGTATCTAATTGTTTTTAATTACTTTTAATTACATGTAGGAAAAGTTTAATAAGTTTCTCATTTCAAAGAAACACAACTCCAGTTATTGTTTGATACTAAGAACAATTAAAAACTAGCCATCAAGAAAATTCAAACAAGTCCAAACATGATAAGGTGTTGTTTCAAAGCTCCTATGGCCTTCTTCTAGCTCCATCACCAGATTAGCATGTGATGTCATAATATTGCATTATGACAGTATTTACACATGTATACAAAATTTCATTACAATTAATTACTGTAATTGCAAGATTTTGCAACAAACATCTCTCAGCTTATCACCACCTCAAAGGCCAGCAACACATCTGCGGTTCCTCTGGTATTGCTGATGTCCATGGGTGTTCCCGCTGCTCGTTTGCCCCCTTCTGTTGTAATAAGGATGAAATATAACATTACATGTTGTGAAAAGGGCTGTCCATTTTCCTAAAGTATAGAGCCAATCTCATGACATGGAGAGAGCATAAGTATGAAAATGTGTAGTTCTTGTTTTGCTTCTTGAAAATTGTCATGAATTCCAAATAATGAAAAAAGAAAATATTATTCAACCTTCATTCAATTCAAATCTTGTTACTCAAACACCTTCTGTCTTGAAGTTATGAATTGTCCGTACTGAATAAATTTGGGTTTGTTATACTTAAAGTTACATAATTTTTACATCTGTTAAATAATGTTACTGTAATAAATTAAATGTAACTATGTTTGTATAAGTCTCAATTTATGATAAGGTTATTTGACGTTCTTTTAATTATCATTACCACGTGTAATGACTCGAAATATGTAGGAATTTCATGTGGTAATGATATGATTATCAGTTTTAACTGGTTATTTTTTTTTTAAATAATATTACAGGCATACACATGATGAATTCTAAATATGTCGTCAACTTATAACATCCGATCTAGTGAAATGATTTTTTTTATGGAAATGCCTAATCAAATTTTCTTTAAACTTTACTTCGAAGAATATAGTCTTTTTTATTTGATTACAATGTTATTGGAATGTTAGCAGTTGACCGCGACTTCGTTCGTGCTGAATAAAACAATCTAATAATATAGTCTATGACATCCGGGGTTAGTGTGGATTCCCAACAGAGACTTTTTTTTTCAAATTGTTTCAGTACTTTAGGAGCCTATTCCAATCCCATTTCCAATTTCTTTGCAAAAGAAACTTTCATTTAGAAAATTAAATTAAATCACACGATTCGTATTTATTTCTTATTGACATTTTCTTTTTTTATACGTGGCTATTTGCTTGTTCTTTCTTATTACGTACGGTGGAGGTCAATAAAGTTTACCCTTTGATTCCTCTCGAGAGTAGCTAGTGCGGTTCAATCAAATATTATATTTACAAAGGAAAGTAATCATATTAAAAGGCACATGTAGAATAAAATCAATTCATGAATGCTTTTGAGACTGGAAATAATCTTTTATTATGCTTTTGAAGCGCTGGTATGATTTAATTACGATATCGAGGTAATCCGCCGTTGCTTTAACGAGATATTTTCTAGCAAAAATAAAATTATCTTGAACGTCGATATTTCTTTCATTCATCCAATGAGTTGCTATATCTGTAGAAATAAAATTCTAAAAGCATTAATACCTCGTTGGAGTAAATGTGAAAGTATAGGTTCTACGTATTTCATATACGTATGTAGATGTTGACCGTCATCGATTCCGGAAACAGAGCGCTGCATCCGGTCCGCGTGACGTCACAGATGCCCTTTCTAGCTTACAAATGTCACCGCGTTCCGATCTATTGATTTAATTAAGTAATAAAGTAAAATGTATAAAACATCGCCCATTATTCATGATTTACGTAATCGAATTATTTATATACTTAACGCGCAATAATCCCATTTAGTACCTGTATATAATAATCTTATAAATCTTGTTTTATAAACGGGGTGGCTACAAGTCAAAACTTAACACGATTCAAACTCAGAAAGGTCGCAAGTACTAAACTATGGCCAGGTATTATTTATTATTTTCCTATCAAATTCACTTTAAAAATCCAAAAATGTATCTAAATCACATTGTCTAGAAAGCAAATATAAATATCTATCTTACGTGATTCCCACAATTTTATAAGACTGGTATATTCTATCTACAGTCAGGATAGAATCTTGCCTTCGGAGATTCTATTAGCGAATGCATCCTACGCTCGGCATATACTAGTCGACGCCACCCGGCGTCAAGTGACGCGCAATGTATGCAACAACATGTGTTATCTACGGATTATTCATGCTCCCAAAGAAACTAATTTCAATTCAACTCCTAGCCATCAAAGGCGAACGGCGAATTGAATGAAAGTTGATTCATGATTTATTCTACGCCAGCATGAAGTGTCTGGTGAATAGATGGACGGTTTATATGTTAGTAACAGGGCAGTCTTCCTTTTTTTGATTACTAATCAATACGTTGGATAGTTACAACACGACAATGTATGTAGCTTTTAACCTTTAACTTACCATTCTGCCTGCCCTATTGAATGTTCGTTTTGGTTGCAGTTTCTTCTTTAATAAATTGCATTTAATATTTACTATCGTTGTATTAAACAATCGTTTGGACTTTGTTAGCGACGATTCATTAGAATTTTAAATACTCTTAAAGAGTTTAGTTGTATTTTTTTGTTTGTGGCGTTGTTATTTCCTTTAACAAAGGATACTAAAGCCGGCTCCGGTTTGGGTTGACCGCAGCATTTGATATGCGAACAAAAATTACTTTTAAGTACCTACTAAATGTTTTCGGTATTTAAATTAAAATAATATTAGAAGTATATGAATACAAAATTATTTGTAAATTGTAAATTAAATGTTCCCCCGCATATTTACGCATATAATACAGAGCTATAATATTTAATTTTCTAACACTATTAAAAACAATAAGACTGTAAGCTGCGGAAAATCAAGGTCGATTGTAGCCAGGCGAAATTATTGACCTAACCTTACTGAAACTATGCCTAACGCAATAAAGACAAATATTTCGCACAAAATCCAATGTAAACGAATTGTATAGGGTTCGTTTCCACTAAAACAAAGCCGATTAAAAGAGCTATTTATATATTGCAAATGTTTGGATAGATGGATGCATGGTTGTTTGTTTGTTAGAAGATATCTCCAGAGTGGTTTAAAAGATCTCTAAGAAATTTGACACAAAGAACATAGTTTCAAACAACACATCTACTACTTATCGAGTTACTTTATATCCACGAGGGCGTTGTCGTAAAGCTAGAACTTAATAATGGTTCCAGCTGATATTTTGTAAAAAAAAACATGCTGCCTTTCACCTTTCACTCGAGCCACAGAGTACATAATTCAACAACCCTTGTGTGTAACTTAAAAGTAATTACCGATTACAGTATCTTTTTTATTTCATAAAAAAAGTAGTTTAGAAGGTATGAATTGGCTTATCAAGCAGATGAATACTCTGGTTATGTACGTGCCAAATCAAATGATTACTATAATGTGCCTGTTCGTCTGGTATAACAATAATTAATTGCATAAAATCTGCAACATCACTCTTCACATTTCCTTCTAGCATTTTACCATTCGACGGAAATAAATATAGAATGAGAAATGAACAACATCGAATACTCGATTTTTATTACGCATCCGCATCTATGTTGCCTACTTCCACAAGGCCGTTGATTATTTGATTTTGTTACTTCTCCTTGATAATACGTGAAGATAAACATACGTTTTCATCTCAGATATGAGACGTATTACGTAAATATTTAAGTTTACCGTGATTTTTCGAAACAATGTTGTCAACCCTATCATTCTCTCTAGAATAGTAGAGATAATAATATTTCTACATGTGTTTCGCCAGTGTAAACCCACGGTTATATAAACGTATCGTGATATTTTACAGTTTAGAAACGTGGAACGTATCATATTGCGGTCCAATTTAACTTATCAATTGATACGTAGATTTTATTTTATCTACAAGCGTCGTGTAGGAAATTGTAAAACGTCAGGTTTTACGTAAAAATCTGAAGTGTAAGCTTGTTCGACCTAAATCGAAGAAAAAATAAGAACGTCGTTTTCAAAATGGAATTCTTTATTTTCTCTTATAAAATGTAAACCATAGAAACTTTAGCGAAATGATTAGTGTTGAGAAATGCGAACGGTGAAAGCGAAGACTGTAGTTTATTGTAAACATTCTAACAAGTAAAGAATCTATACATATTAATGAAATTGGATTGTATAGATTCTTTGATATATTGAAAAAAATACACATGATGTATTCGCGTAGCTGATGAAAAACTTTAAAATGTAACTGTATGTCCGTCCACAAAGCCGCGTTTGTTCCGGCTAATCTCTGGAACGGCTGGAAGGATTTTGACGGGATTCGGACGAAAAGGCAGCTAATGACCGCGGGCGTATGATAGGCTCCCTTTTTTAACGAACTCAGGCGACGGCCAACTTACAAATATCTTTCATGATCATTAAAAATATTGGAGTTAAAATCTATCATTAAATCGATTTTCCGCTTCGTTCTTTAATACATAAATTTTTGTGGTAACGTCCTTTTTATTTATTTGATTAAAAGAGAGTTCTATTATTAATGAATGATAAATTCATAACCATGTTATTTCAAAACAATTTACAGATAATATGCATTTTCAAGTAATGCAAATGAGTATCGTACTTTCAATTAAACTGATATAAAGTAGATGTAATAGTTTTTTTTATACTTTAAAGTACTTGACTGAGTTGAAGCGCATTCTAATGATTGCAGTCATTATAACGGAAGCATAGTTCATATGTTTTAATGATTATGATCTAATGTTGAAGTATGATGTTGATGATATCATCAATGTGGCAATAAATTTTATTATCTGTTAATGGATTGTGGAATGCAGACGACTCTAAAGGATCTCCGTATATATCGACCCTACGTTACTATCGTTTTGGACAGAAATTTACTGATAAATTTTTATAAAGTTATAGACAAAGGTTATCTTCGGTCTGTATGGTTATTCTTACTGCAACTTTGACACAGGCGAGTGCAGCAGTATTTCATCATCATTTTTAACAACTATACGCGTATCTATATCTCTTCTCATCAGCATTTAGCTATATCTTGAGTATAGCAGCCAACTGTAGCAAGGGTTTTGTTTGTGTTCAGATGGCGCCGATGCGTGGCGAGCGCGGCGGATCGCCGGCTCGGGCCGCGCGCGCCTCCCTGCCCTTACCTCGCCGGTTGATCCGGCAGATCGCCCGCCATGTGGCTTCCAGCGGCCGTTCGCTGCGTCGCCTGGAGGTCTCCGGCAAGGTCATCGACAACTTCGACGACATCGACGACCCATCAGATGAATCCGACATGGAAACACCGCAGCCAGCGTTAGTATCTTTATCTGTAACAGTCATCAAGTCGTAAACTACGTCCTCAACAAGAAGCTGTATCCTACCCTATATTTTTGTATGATGTATCTATTTACATTGGTCGTTAATGACAGGGTGGAAAATAACTAAAGGAGAAGGTTATGGGGGACAGCGACACTCAACCGATGAAATTCGGTAGTAATAATACCTTACCATTGCCTTTCTTCAGTTCAGGTATATAAAAATCTTCGCTATACTGCGGAAAAATATGGAATTAATTCCGTTGCGCACTTACCCGTACCCGGGTTGGGATTTTTATATTCTTGGTTAGTCCATAATTGATATTGTTTAAAGAAATTGCAATCGAATGAGTCACGTGCTCCACATGTAACCATGCACCACCATGATTGAATATGTTCACAGTGGGTTTCCATTGCTGAAACACTAATACAATAACATATCGTTGTCACTCTCCTTTTCTTTGAAAGAACAGAGAAAGCAAATTATGTTCTTGTTCAGTTATTTGTGTACGCCAACGTTTACATTTCATAATACAAACGCAAACTAAACACGACTTCACGCTCAAATCGGAAATATATTTACACTAGTTTGTCACTGAAACGAATTGATGTGAAATATTTGAATAGATTTTCACAGTTTGTGTGTGGTCTTGTAGTTATTCAATTTGATTTAATTTTATTACTTTGACCTATATTTAGCTTTTATTACTATCAATTACTATAAAACCTTCAAGTAATTTAACCGATTCGCAATTTAACAATTTCATTACTTTGCCTTGTTTTCGTCGTCATATTACCACAGAGAGGCTCGTAGCCTACCATGTTGGACTGACTATGCCTTTGTCAACCACCATAACCCAGTGCAGGTTCGTTGACTTCACACATATCCTTTAATTTCTTCATCGATATGTACAGCTTTCATCACGATGTTTTCCGTCACCGTAAGATAGTCGGAAAAATGTTCATAAAAATTTTAAAATCGAGAAACACATTGGTACATAGCGTTCGAGTACAAAATTCGTTATTATTGTAGCTAGTGTATATTAAAAAAGGTCTATACAATGTTGTGTTTTATCAAGATAAATTTTTGTAAGATAAGTGAAGGCGCCGTATATTTATCGTGTCGTTAGGAAGCTATGCAGGTTGATATCGTTTAAGAAATGTATGTATATATATTTTCTAATCTGATTCAATTACCTAAAGTCGACGTGTCGCGACTTAAGTTTATGATGGATGATCGTCGCGCGTCTGATACGGGGCTTTATCAGTTTTTTAGGTGACCGGGTAAGACGACTGACCTTGCTTCGCCACACGTGATCGATGTTCGCATACTTTTGCTAAAAATGTATAAATGAATAGCTGTCGTCCGCGTCTCAATCAGTGGGTAGAAAAAATCTTACTTGTTGTGTTCTTCTAAGATAGGCTATGTTCTATTGCATCCGTTCTGGAGATACCTTCTAACAAACATCCATCCATCCCCACATCTAAACATTCGCAATTATAATATTAAATAAGATTTTGACTCGAAAAAATCTTGGTTTTTTTTTTTAGATAAAAACTAGCTGTAGACCAAACATATCTTTGTGGACATTGCCTTTTGTACAGTTATAAAATATAACTAAGTTTTGTCAAGCATCAGAACAAATTGATCTATTATAACGGGACGCAAATTTTTTGGTACAATTTCATATTTTTACGAAGATACTTAAAGAGAAAAATTAGAAAACGAACTGAGTCTTTACAAAAAGCAGATTCTTTTAATATAATTCCGTTTTACGGCAATATTATATCGAAGGAAAACTGTTTACGTCACAGTTGCTTATTTATGGGCACATTTACCTTGTTATGAGGAACCAATACTACACATTGATGTATATTACTGAAACAATTATATAAGTACTTACTTTTAATATTTTAAAATAAAAAATAAATTAAAGTTGAAGAAACCGTCTCATCTTACTAATATGATAAATGTGAATGTTTGGATGGATGGATGTTATCTCCAGAACTGCTGAACGGATCTAAATGAAATTCGGCATTCATCTAAAACATAGGCTACTTATTGTGTTTTTTTTTACAATTCTTTACGGACGGACTCGCGGGCGACCGCTAGTAGCTAATAATATGTCATAATTTGAAGTTTTCTTTTAAGTATGTAAAATAAATTATGAAATTGTAAGATGTTTATCATAGAACATAATTTAGGAATTAGAATCTAACTTGGTATTAAAAGAAATGTGATATATCCAGCAGGGTGGCATGTGGTAACGCCGGCAACCTGCCACCCGCAGACCACGATGATGACCTCACCAGCCTCAGCTGGCTGCAGGACAGGAACCTACTCAGAGGTCAGTTATCGCCATTCGATTTAGTATATAAAAGTAATTTTCCACTAAGCTACTGGTCGCTTTAGTGAAAAAGGATTTAATCCACTACTAGTGGTTTATTTAATTTTGATTCCTGTTCTTTTGAATATGCGATATAATTAGGTGTATAAAATCTTTTGAGCCACAAGATACATATTATGTAAATCGGACGATCAAAATGGAATAAGCCACGCAATTTCACAGAAGGCGTCCACAATGCGCCGCCATTTTGTATTTTCCCCCTAGAACAGTGGTTCCCAAACTTATTTTGTCTACTGCCCACATTGAGAATAAATATTTTTTTAGCGCCCCCATATTTGCACATATTTAAAAACCACTATAACTTTAAATTAAATTAATTAATTATTGTGACCTATATATGTATATATTAACGGAGAATTCTAAACGAAACTTTTACTATAACCCGCAACTTGAGACCTGCAGCGCCCACAATTGGGCGTTATCGCCCACTTTTGGAAAGACTGCCCTAGAATATTAGTTGATGCAAGAAATTATATTTAATTGACTGTTTCTAGTTATATAAACTGGATAGTTTTCATAAATATCTGTGTATTTCTGTTACAGGGATCAACCTCAGCAAAAATGATCTGGAAGATACAAAGACGATCACCAGTCAAGTTGTTCTTAAGGTAATTTAGAAAAAAATCTATTGTAATTTAATATAATATTTTTAATCTGTGTTTTACTAAAAGAGAATGAATTCAATTCGATATTAATCATTTTCAATTTTTAAACGTAATACTTTTCACACAAATAATGTTTAAACAAACTAAGTAAATTTTGCTTTAAGTTTTAGAGAACAATAAAACTTTTTTGTTTATTCAAGTGCACAAAGTTCAATGTTACAGTGTATTCGAAAGGAATATATTAAAAGCCTCATTTTATCACGTTCTATAAATTTCCTTTTTTAATGTTTAAAAAACTATATTGGTAATTTTTCATTTTCCATCTTCAATTAAAGTTCATTTTGCTGTTAAAAATAAGTTTATAAGTATAGTCTGTCGGTAGACTTTCATTTGTATTGGTTTGTTATTATTTACGAATGATCTAATGGCTTAAAACTTCACATTAATGCATAAGTCGAGTCCCTAACAAATATATTGGCGTTCTTTCAACAATCATTTATGATAATTGTTTCCTTACAGCAGCCAGAAGCGAAAACCCCGCCCCCAGTGATCCGCATCCCCTCTCCCCCGCGCACGCCCTGCAAGGCCCCGCCCTCTCCCCCCACCGCGCACACCAAGCCCCCCTACTCCTTCTCCTGCCTCATCTTCATGGCGATAGAGGCTGCGCCCGCGCGCGCTCTGCCCGTCAAAGAGATATACGCCTGGATCATACGACACTTCCCCTACTTCAAGCACGCCCCACAAGGATGGAAGAATAGTGTAAGACATAACCTGTCTCTCAACAAATGCTTCCATAAGGTTAGTCTTCATTACAAAAGGGTGAAATTCTTTACATAACGGTCATTACGTTATCTGACAGTAGCATACTAATATTTTTTTAATTGCAAATAACATTATCTTCAATTCCAGGTGGCTGCCGCCCCCGGACTCGGCAAAGGTTCACTATGGACAGTGGACCCACAGCATCGTTCCACGTTATTGCAGGTAATATAATGTCATCTTGCTTTTACAAATTTTTTGTTCATATGTGTGAGAATCAAAAAAAACAAAAGATATCAATATGAAAAACTAGCGGTTGACCGCGACTCCGTCCGTTAAAAGATCTACTTTACTTCTAGCAGTTTTCTTACAGTATATTGTTTGCAGGCGTTCGGTCGACAGCCTGTGCCACCCGCGGAGGCGGAGTGCGAGCAGACAGTGGCGGGAACAGTAGTTGTGCCGGGGCCGGAGGCGGGGGCGGTGGTGGTGCCAGTACAGGAGGCGGGGCAGACTGCGGGGGCCAAGAACGCGCCCGACCCGCAGCTGTTCCCGCACTTGGCGCGCCGGCTGGCGGCAGACGCGCGCAGCGAGCCCAGCGCTGACGAGTACCTCGCCGCCGCCAGCGTGCTCGCCATGAAATATGGCCCCGCCGTGCTCGATCAGGTACAGTCAAGATCCCTACGCAGTGTTCCACTTGCAAACACATTGCCCCGTTCCTGTCAACGTGACAACTCCGCCCCTTCTTATAAAATTAGGCAGCAAAAGACATCATTGCCATCTACTAATTACTTGATTACTACCGTTACCATGGCAACTATCCATCTTTGCTGCTATTGGCTTGCAATTTTTGGCCCTTTCTCGCATAACAGTTTTATTCAACTTACTCAACACCTAAGTTATATAGTATGAAAATTTATAGCCTACATTGTCTTGTGGTTGCTGAGATCCTGCGTTACAAAAAAGTGTGTGTACACATTTTATATTATATTAGTATTGATAATATAATATGTATAGATATTAGTGATTCAGTTATAGATTGATATCAATAGATTGGTTTGTTACAGCTGCCGCCTGCTGCGCACCTGGTGATATCGCGGTGCGCACGCGACGAGCACTCGTACAGCGGCGGGGGCGGGGAGGAGCGGCGCACGGCGGAGGCGCTGCTCAACCTGGCCGGCGTGCGCTCCGAGCCCGCGCCCAGCTAGCCTACGTATGCGCACGCGCACGCGCAACACCTTGTATACACCCTTCTGTAAACCTTCCACAATACTCCGACAGACATACATCGCACCCTTATATCACTCTACAACTAGCGTTATACCTAAAAGTAGCCTATTATATGCCCGCGTCCATAAGCTATTTTCCTATCGAGAGTCCCATCAACATCGGTTCACCCGTTCCGAAGGTACCAAGAACCAACGCGGCTTTGCGGTCATACAGACAGACTAATTTAATAAACTGGTCTTTCGTTATCAGCAACGTGGTAGTACATAAAGACAATTGAATTGTATGTTAATTTTATGTCGTAATTTTTATAAACAATATTTCTGGTTTGTTTTCTCGATTAATTAAGGGTGCGATGTATTACCACTAAAGTTAAAATGACTTAATACGCATAATATTACTTTTTTTTCGTCTGACGGTCTACTCTCCTAGTTAAGACAAGGACTACGAATTCTTTTGTTTTCCACTTTAAATGATTCTATAAGGATTTATTTCGTTAAATTGAGTTAAAATTGGTTAATATTGAATCTAACGTTTACAATTATATAAAACTGATTATTTGATATTAGTTAATTTGCATGTAACTTTGGCGGTTACATTATTTGTGGAAGGTATTATTATGTAAAAGAACATCCTATATATAAAAATTAATTTACGTCTAGGCTATTACATCTTGTTTTTTGTTAAATTTATAAAATAATTTCGATAATCTATGTAGAAGTTAACCTAAACATCACAGTATGTCATTTGCGTTTAATCTTTGTTTATATTACATGCTCAATGTTTATTTAGGACAATTACTTAGTTACCTTTTTAAAATGCGATTTTCTTTGAGAAATAATTTAATAGCTTGGGCATAGCTCAAGTTTAGTTGACGTCGTTCTTAGAACGAATACTCAAATGTTCATCGCTTCATAAAAAATAAGTAAAATAGTTTGAAATGTGTATAGGAAAAGTTTACCATACTCTAGTCCAATAAAGACAATCTTATTTCGGTTGCGATACAGACTTTGATGTTTTAAATAAATTTAATAATAAAAATTAGACAATTTGAAACATCCTGTATATTAGATCGAGATTTCTCAAACTATTTCCATTCATTTTCTTTACGATATCACGAGATATTGAAATGTCCTCGATTACTTTAGTGAAATTTTCAAATAAAAAAAAATAACATCGTTTAAAGATTATTAAAATGAGGACGAATTCGATAGTACATACAGTAGTAACTTTAGTGATAGATGTGATAATACTTATTATGAATTATTATTTAAAAATAAAAAGAATGGAAAATAGTTGAATAGGTTCCGCATTTAGGATTCCCCAATTTACTATTAGTCAAACAATATTCGTTTAAGAATACATTAAAGTAAGTATAAACACCGGTGTTGCTTTCCGTCTTTCTTTGCTGAGTAATTGAATTTTGATGCCGAGTGTTGCCAGAATGTTCCCCATTTTTTCAGCAGCGGGAATGTTATGAAATGTAGGTAATAAGCTATTTATAATTATTTAAATTATTTCGCTTTCTTATATTAAAATAATTATATGGGAATGGTGGAAATTATATTATTCTAAACTGAGCAATAAATTTGTAAACATTTCCTTTGTGTGATCTGAACACAGACATATAAATGTATACAGGGCGTTCAAAAATATATCTTACCACTTGTTCGTGTTTAAATGGTGATATCTTATATATATTAAATGTAATTTATATATTTAAACTTTATGAATGCACTAGCTATAAGCAAAATGTATTTTGTGTTCATAGACCTTGTGATCGTATCAGGCTATTTCTTACATCTTCTAATGTTAAGTGTAAATCTCTCGCTATTCTTAACTTAACAACATATAATTATGATATTCTTCTTTTATATATGTTCAATTGAATTGTTTGTACCGCTGTGTCAGTTTTGTTGTATTTATCACATTTTTAAAGTGTAAAGATTCGTAATTTTTTTGACTAGTATGGAAGTATGTTTAAAATATTGCACATTGTCTAAGAAAATATTATCACATTTTTTTTTACTTTTTAAAGACGAATAATGTCTGGTCAATAATATTGTTTTAAAGTCGTTGAATTTAAGTTTACGACTTGTTAAATTTAAAAAAAAAATCATGATTTTAAGTACACGAATTAGTTTTAATAAAATTTATTTAAATTTAACTTTTCTTTAACTAAAGCATTGATTTTATTTAACGTTTTTTTATAATTGAAATAATTTGAAATGTTCATAAAATGTACAAAAAAAGGTATCATACTATAAAAGTATGAAATGTCAGACTGAATTCTACGACTGATTGCAGAGGAAGCAATATTATTAGAAGTTAAATATATAACAAGCTTCTAATAAAAACGTATTATTTATGTTATTTATTTTATTACATTTCAACCCGGTTTATATTAATCCAGTCCAGTGGTCTTACTCAGCACTTGATTACAATCGCTGGACTGGAATAATGTTAACTAGACTTTATAATCAGCTATAATCACAAGGTGTCCGTCAAATAAAAACTCATTATCTACTACTAAACAGTAATATTGTGTGCCAAATGTTTAAAAACTCTTAATGTACCGTGAAATGTGAATCCAAAAAATTAGATACAATTATGTATAATGTATGTATTAAATGGAAACTTATGTAACTCGTAGATTTATTAGTTGTTAAGTGATATTACGTCAATCTAATATATTGCTAAATATTTAAATACATCTTGTGCTGTATTTAGGAGCGTCTTCCATCTTAATCATATTGTGTATTTGTTTTTCTCTTAGAAAGCTTCGGGTCCGGGAAAAAGTACGCATAGACAAATATTACTACAATTTAGTGTTGCCATTTAAAATGATATTATAATTAATACTTAAAATCTTCAAAACGTTATTATATGATTTTTGTTCATAAATCAAACAGAATTATTTGTTCAATCTTTTTTATTTTATAAATATTTATAAAATGTTCTTTTTCCCGCGACCACGATCTCACTAGCCTTTCTTTCGGTGTTAATAAAATATATATGTAGATAAATTTTACAGCAATAATTAGTACCTAATTGTAATGTACTTGGCTGTTAGATGCTGCGCGTATTTATGTATGACATTGATATTTCCTCAAGGATTATTGTTTTTTTTTGTGAACTTGTACCGGCTTGAAGTATGGTTTATATAAGTGTGAGTTATTGAAACTTTCACATATTGGCAATTCAATTACGTCTACAAAGTAACTCGTTTTTAAAACACCAGTACAAAAATATTATTATCTCTGTTTTTAAAAAGAGAGTGAAAGTGACGACAATGTGAATTTGTTTCGGCTGTAGATAATCTATGGTCAGGATGACAGATTTCAATAAGATAAACGAAATGTTGACAGTATGCCATTTATAATTTTTTGATGAAGTTATTTGCAATGTGTGAAAGTTTTGTATGACGATTCGGTATCTGGTTTGGTCATAATGAATGTTTACTTCTTCAAAAGATGCCTTTCGTTTAAAAGTTATATCGATATGATATTAAAATTGTTGCGGCTCATACTTTACAAGGTGAAAAATTAAATTATTAATTTATTATTTTTAGTTTTAGTGAAAGTTGGTCTAAGTTACGTGGTCAGTTTGTAAAACGACTTTTGATGTACCCGTTTTCGATAAACAAAAGGCGTTTATTTTTAAAATGTGTTTGTCTATGGTTAAACTTAGCTGTGAGCAAATCCGGGCTGTATTTTAAGTAAATAAATTATGATTGTTTTAATGTTGGTGCATTCGCCGGCTTACTCGACTTTTTTTTTAATAATATTATTGCTATTGTTGAAAGTTATGCCAAATTTTTATTTGTCCTAAAAAATCTTTTGTCTATGTACATATCCATTAAATAAATTATGTACCGAGGATCATCATGTGTTTCTTTTCAATAATACCTTTATGGAAACGCTTTGAGCTGTTTTCTTATTCGAATTTTGACGCTTTAAAATTTATCTGAAATATTTTGTAATGCCATACATTGTTTCAGTACAATGGCATTAATTAGCCTTTTCTTATAAGGAAAGGAAGGGTAGGGAAAGTGGATTTAACAGGACGCATAGGAAGGGGAATCATTCACTTTCTGAGCCACTCTGTCGATTAAAGGTAAGAAGAATCACATCCGTAATTACGGATGTCTATTGACAGTATACGCTTCGCTATTTCGGCGAATCCAAGGGCTGTTAGCTCGTTTGCCACCTTATAATGTAGTAAAGTCTGTACATTTCACTAGATTAGACATCTTAACGGCGTTACTCTAAAGCAGCAACCATCAATTCATATTTAGACATTTTATCATGTTTGTTAAACAATAAACTTGATAAAATGTAACTGATAATTGTTAAATGCTAAAATGTCGTGAGTGTGGGTTTTGTAATTTTGTGGACTGAATATTATATACCTATCTGAATATCGGTGCCCACGATACATGCATTTCCTACTGTGGGCATCACTAGATTATCCACATTAACCATAAATGGTAACTCGAGTCTAATTTAATTTCTTAGTTATGTGCAATTTTATTATGTTAGTTATTGTTTCTTGGTTTAATCTGTATTACCTATAATAAAAACTTTTCTTTCTTTCTTTCTTTAAATCGGTGTTAATGAGAAGGGAATTAATAATAAAACTTACATAATTATTTATTCCAGAAATCATTTTTCAATGCGTCTTTCAATCTACATAAAAAAATTTAACATCGTACATTACTGTCTAATTTTATTGCCACATATTTCTGACACACTCAAGTCCCTCAGTTTTGATATACTATACACTAAGGGTCACCCTTAGTGATCATTAAGAGTGCGGTAGTTATATGTGATTACACGTCCGCTCTATGTTACATATGCTATGTGTAAGCTATGTTACAGTGTCATTAACGAAGTGCTTCATGTCCTACAGTTATATAATAAAAGTGCGTTCAAGCGATTAAGAAAAATATATTTGTCGCGCTTCGGAGGGTGATTGCTCCATGGGGCAGTACGGGCATTTCAACCTGGAAATAAAAGGCAAAAAGTTCATATACAAATTTAAATAAAAAAACAAAAAACAGACACGAGTAAAGATTTCGTAAATTTAAAAAAAAAACAGTTACTAGAAATAATTCTAGACAGCACTTTACCAGACTCCTGTCTTTTGCGTGTAGGTAACAGATGAGGATTTTACCAATGATTTGACTGATACTAAGTTCCTTTTTCTACTAAGCGACACTAATATTTCATTTCCACTAGCCCGCTTAGTGGAAAAAGTGTGTAAATTTAGTGTCTCACTTGACGCCCATAGCGAGCTTGTTGAGGGCATCGCGCGAGATGACGTGTCCGCACAGCAGGCGCATGGGCGGGTTCTGCTCGGAGGCTTGCTGGCGCAGGATGGGGCACGCGAACACTGAGTGGTAGCCGCCGCCCTCCGCACCCAGCTCCACCTGCACACAACATTACTATCATAGCTGCCCACCCCTTTTCCTTTAAGAAAAGGATGAGAAGGGGGAGTATATTTGATAGATGAGTGGACACATAGGAAGGGGAAATATTCCATATAAAAGGGAAACAAAGTCCCTTAAATTAAATTAAAGGTAGCAAATACATCTGCAATTGTCTATAGATAGTGGACGCTTCGCTATTTCAGCGAATTCCTGTAACCGCTTGCTTGTTTGCCACTTTATCCTTAAAAAATGTGAAAAAGCTTTGTTTTTAGTTTTATACCAAACTTATTAAGCGTGTATTATCATACCTCCAAGGGCAGCTCATCATCAGCCCAGGCAGCAGCGACGTGTTGCTGACACATCTTGTTGCGTATGTCGTGCAGCGCGGGCAGCACACGTGCTCCAGCACCCGCAGCACCCGCCAGCGGGGACAGCGGCGCCAGGCGCAGCAATGCACACGCCTCGCGCACGAACAGCTCCGCCGCCTCGCTGCCTGGAATACAAACATGGTACATACAATTTCATTATATACAAGTCTATTGGTGAACGATTGGCCGGGTTGAAATACAACGACCATACAGAAGACAGGCAAGTAGATGTAATTCCGCGTTCTGATGAGCATGCTTTCCGGAGGCTTAATTTAGTCTCCCTTCCCTTCCTAGGGCTTGGTGGAGGACCGGAAGGGAATATATTATCTTTATGTGAGACGCACATCTTTCGATGCAAGAATTGCAGGGCAGCGATCGCTTCGCCATTCCGGCGAATTCAGATGGCCACTTGTTCGTTTGCCACCTTATATTATAATAAAAAAAAACATTAAAGGTATATAAGTGGTCAAAGTGTGTGTTACCTAGTGCGCGTGGGTCGAGCAGTCGCTGGTACTGTGGCGGAGGGTTTCCAGCGCCGGGTGTGAGCCAGGCGAGCGCGCACACCGCCGCCGCCAGCTGGCGCTCGTGCCGCGCCGCGTGCGCTGGGAACTGCTGTCGCGCGTACTCTATCGCCGCGCCCACGCCTTGCTCGCGACCCACCTAACAACATTTGTCTTTGGTAACACAAAAACGAAAGAAATGCAAATAGGAGGAAAACATACATTTTAAAAATTGAACCAAAAGACATGCCTTTCGAATAAAAAAAGAATTATGAAAATCGGACAATCATAAAAAAGAAATAAAAACACATAGGCACAAATTATGAACCTCCTTCTTTTTGAAATCGATTAAAAAGTATTATAATAAATACTTACATAAAATCTAATTTGGTCGGAGATTGTTTACAAACATCTGTTATACTAATCATACGCACTTGTTGTATTTGAGAGCTATGACGTCACAATATGAGTCATATTTTTTGGAGCATTGTATAGATATATAATTTATTAAGAAATACCAAAAGGAGGTCAAAGCTGACCTTGAGTGTCTGTACGGTGTGTAAGGCGAATGGCAGCGGGGAGTGTGTGAGCTGGTGCGCGCGGCGCTGAGCCCAGGCGAGTGCAGGTGCAGGGTCTCCCGCTGCCAGAGCGCTCGCGCACCGCTGGAGTAATGCGAACGCGCATGTCCGCTCAACACAGGTCACCCCCGCCTCTGATACGAACACGTCGCCCACCTCCTCTAAACCCTATAGTAATTCATAATACACAACAATTTAGACTATAAAATTAACAAAACACTTGGGTAATCATTTTAATATTATATGCTATAATTATGTTTTAAATACACATATGATTTTTGGCAACAGCTAATTTACAATATAGAAAAACAATGGACTAGATAACTGCAAGTATTAACATGATAATGACAAATATTGATATAGACAGAATATATTTAATGAAAACACCTAAAACCCATTAAAAAATCAGTTTCACCAAAACAATTCTTATTTTTATTGAAAAAAGTTGTTATATTATTGTTTATGAATTTTTATCTATTTGGAAAATAAATATTGCATATAATATGTATGCATATAAACTTTACCTGTCTATACAAATGCTGAGCAATAGCCTGCTCCATAATAGGCCTGTTTGTGTCAGAGGAAAAGGACTCCGCTTTTGGAGCAACAGAGGCATAGTCAATAATAAAGTGTCGATCAATTGACTTGCCTACACGAGAAACTGTAGCATGCAGTTCACGATGTTCTGTAAACAAAATTTACTGCCAATGTAACATATTCATAATAACATATTTGGAGTTAAAATTCCATTTACTTGAACCAAAATTGAATGGAATCTTGATATTTTATTCAAAGCAACCCCGTCCGCACATAATTAAAAAAACTTAATAAGTAGGCTATGTGTTTTTTCAGACTATGTTTTACATCTATGCCAAATTTTAGCGGGATCGGAAATACCTTCAAACAATCCATCCGTCCTTCCATCTAAACGTTCGTATTGATTATTAAGACAATGGATAAAACATGACTCTATAACCGCTGTGAACCTTACCTGTTGACATTTGAAATACTGTTTGTTTCACATTAGCTGCCAGATCACTTAGGATCATTGCTTGTGTCTGCGTCAAGGGACTATCTGGAGGTTCTGCAAATAAAATTTATACTTAACAAAATCACATATCTCTATGTGTATCAGAAATAAACTTCAAAACTACTGAACCATGCAGCATTCATATTTTATTGAATAGCAATTACAAAATATATTTCTAATACCTATTTTTAATCAATGAAGTAGATAAATTACTTAAAAATAAGTTTAAAAACAGAATATAACAAACAATAGTTTAGTATACAATGCTAATAAATATTTATATGACAGATCAAAACATCATAACAGTACTGTTTAGATAGGGAAATTATTGTTGAATTACAGGTGTTACAGTACAATTAAGTACACAACTGTCAGATTATAAGCTATTTGATTATAATTTGTGAACCAAAAAAGTCATTGTTCAGACAGCAGAAAGTTGTTAGACATGGAAGACTAAAGTGACACATGCTGTGGAACAGCAGTAGGCAGACAAAGGCTGACGGCTAATGATGTTTATTAAAAAAACCTTAAAATAAATATAGGATTTAACAGGCACTAAAACGCAATATATACTTTACTCACAAATGTTATGTGCCTTGGTTTGTCATTTTTACCTATAATGTACTTACGTTTAGATATCTCGTTTTTTAAATCTTCTACTTGACTGATGATCTCTTCTAATACCTTGTTAGTATGCTCATTTAAAGCATTAAATTTTGTTGTGGCTTTGTCTAAATCCTGTTCTACTCCCAAGCATGAATCCATTCTTCTTTCTTATGTTGTACACAACAAGATTCTAAAAATTATTTCTCTGTTTGACGAAATTATTTATTATAAAGAGAAAACATCAAGACTTCATTTGAATGTTTTTATTTAATGAAAACAGACATTATGCTTTCTTTTTCTGCTTCTGTGAATTTTAGGTGAAAATGTCAAACTCAATTTGTCAACTCAGTAATTTAGCTGTCTGTGGTAAACAAAGAGCATTAAAATGGTAAGCATGGCAAAATGGTAATCAGTTATTACACAGAAATAGAGGCTATGAAAGTAAGATCAAGGAAATATCATATCAATAGTGATTACAAAAAATTGGGTACTTTTTAAAAGAAAGCTGACCTAAAGCCCCTTACTCTAGGGCTCAAATTAAGAACCCAACTTTTTAGGTCATTTACTCATCACATCCAAGCAGATCTGGAAATATGTTCAGTATACACGAGAATCACATTTGGTAATATTAATATCGTCAGCCCTATGTTACTGAAAGTAATGACCAGATATGTCCAACAGCATTTATTTCAATATATTTTGTCTGTGCCTATGTCATAAAATATTTATTCTTCTCTGTGCTTAATTTATGTACTCTTTGTTGAGCTTCATTTTGCTTTTGATCTGCCATCTTGCCGAGCCGACCTTGTTGCACAATCTGTAAAAGTATTAGGTTATATCATTGAATTGGTGGATTAATATCTTTTCCTTTTATTAGGACTTTTGAAAATGGCTCAAAGTAAACTTAACGATATGGCAGGCAAATTTGCCAAAGGTGGACCTCCCGGACTTGGTATTGGGCTGAAAGTTGTAGCAGTAGTCGGCGCAGCGGCATACGGTATTTCTCAATCGGTATTTACTGTGGAAGGTGGGCACCGGGCCATAATGTTCAATAGAATCGGTGGTGTACAACAGCACGTTATGGCTGAAGGGTTGCATTTCCGAGTACCATGGTTCCAATATCCTATAATTTACGACATAAGATCCCGTCCCAGAAAAATATCCTCGCCTACTGGTTCAAAAGATTTACAAATGGTCAACATTTCTCTAAGGGTTTTATCACGGCCAGATGCACGTCACTTGCCTATTATGTACCGCCAGCTAGGTACCGATTACGACGAGAAAGTACTGCCTTCAATTTGCAATGAAGTTCTTAAATCAGTTGTTGCCAAATTTAATGCATCTCAGCTCATTACTCAACGTCAACAAGTTTCTTTGTTGATACGCCGCGAGTTGGTGGAGCGCGCTGCTGACTTCAACATCATATTGGATGATGTTTCACTCACTGAGTTGAGTTTTGGAAAGGAATACACAGCTGCAGTTGAAGCTAAACAAGTAGCGCAACAAGAGGCTCAGCGTGCTGCTTTCGTAGTTGAAAGAGCTAAGCAGGAGCGTCAGCAAAAGATTGTACAGGCAGAGGGTGAAGCTGAAGCTGCAGAAATGTTGGGTAAAGCAATGGGCATGAATCCAGGTTATCTTAAATTGCGCAAAATCCGTGCTGCCCAAAGCATTTCTAGAATGATAGCACAGTCACAAAACCGTGTATTCCTTCCCGGCAACAGCCTTATGATTAACTTACAAGATCCTACCTTTGATGACTTATCGGAAAAATTGACAAAAAAGAAGTAACATGAGGCCAAGGAAGAGGGTTCTGGATGTCTGAAGCCAGTGACCACTCTTTCCGATGATGAAACTGTGGTTATAATAAGTGGTGCGGCTTCAGTGGCAATTTAAGTGGAACATTTGCATTTGAATATTTTTAAATTGTATGAACACTAGAAATTTAGATGGTGGATATTGCATTTTACGTTATTTAGTTGTAGGCTTTTAGTCAATATGTGGATGAATTGATTCAAATAAAACCGTAAACAACTATTAATCTTTCTTTTATCACCTATATCATGTTAATATCAATTCAATGTTATTTTTTCATATTCTAATCTTTTAAAAAGTTGGGATTGTTAATGATTGCTATTGTCAGGCTTTTTATATATTATGTGCAAAGATTTTATAATTTATCCAATGCAGTCTTTATTTTAGAAAATATTAAGGTAATAATGATGAATAAATAATTACTAGTCACTGAGATAATTGCTTAATAACAATCTTTAATAGTATTAACACTTTAAACTTAATGTAATCTAATAGTGATGAACTTGGAAAATTTATTATTATTAAAAAAAGAACACCATAATCAAGACAGTAAATAATTTAATACTTTACTACAGACTAATACAATAACAATGGTAGTTTATTTCTTCACTGCAGAGGGTTGCGGTAATCTGAACTTAGCCATTTCAATTTCAGCTTCAAAGAAACTAGTATTGTCGTAGCAAAAGTACTCGGGGACTTTGTAAGGTCCGTTCTTGCTTGGGTCAACTCCTGGGCCGACTGGTTCTGCTGCAGGGAGAATTACGGCAGCGCTAAGTCCTGGCACATCTGATTTTATTTCACTTGCGGTAGAAGTAGAAGACCCTGAACCAAGATTTTGAACTGAACCCTGGTTGTAGCAACGCATAACAACGCCATTCAAATTCCTTCTTAAACACAACCGAGCTATCATTGTTAAATAAATTTTAATGTTGCGTTACACAACTAAATTCTTGTAATCGGAGAAAATTATTGAAATTGACTATTGTATGTCAGTGTCAACCTAGTGTCAAATATTTTAATTAGTCAACTTTTGTTTTTTTGTGTGGTATATGCTGTTACCAGTTAGATATTGTTTACAACGGAAGAAAAATTATAATTGCATTTGAACAAGTGAAGAAGACATTAATTATCAAAACTTATTCGTTAAAATTATCCAAAAGAGGATTTCTATAGATAGCCACAAGATAAATCTTCATACTCAAACAAATTTTATTTTATTAACCAATTAACGGTAACCGATTAACAAAATTTAAATTGTTTTTTAAATTCATAAGTAAAGTAATTTTTAAGTGCACAGTGCCCTTTTCTCTTTTCTGATACAAGCTTTAGGTACTGTGATCTCCTCTATAGCAGTCTATGGTACTTTTTCACGACTGTTTTGGATAGTTTACCTACCTTGCTTAATTTGCCGATTTTTCGGTCTAACAATATAAAATGAATTTACTTTAATGTTTAAGTTCCACAATAGATTACAATGATGTTCCACAATAACAATTAAGATCAGTTTTTAAGACCAAACCCAGTAAAACCACACATCAGCCATTTACATGAAAGGCAAGTACAAAAAAATTGATACTTTGATATTTTTTATTTTCTTATAGTGTACCGTTGTGCTTGTCACAAATTGTAATAACATCTGTATAAAATGCTTTGACCTATGTATTGGCTTATATTCCTAAAATTAAAGAAATTTGCATGAACTATCGCATAATAATACAAAGTGTATGTATGTATATACGTACTATTGCCGCTATTTTGTTATATAGTTACTTTGACTATGTATGTAGTGATTTTGTATTACGCGACCAAATTGAAAAGGTTTTCAAAACAGACGTTTCTCCTCACGCAGACGTTCGTGATTATTGAGTAGGAAAGTCGAATTTCGTAGATGGCTCCTAATTCCTTTACAATAAAAACGCGAGATTAAACCAAAAATATGTAAAAACATTTATTTTTTCATTAACAGATTTTAATTTTAATTTATTAAAAAAAAATATGCAGTCACTGAAAATGGAACAAACGTTTATATTCTGTGGTTTTTCACTTCATTTTTGCGCCAAGGAATGATTTTCATGAACAATGTTCTTATTCTGGATAGTTTTTAACGATTTGTCCGTCTTTGTGTTTGTTTATTAAACATTAACTTAATCCAGTGTTGAATAATAAAAAAGATTTGTGATGAACGTGCCTCGTACATGTAATATATTTATACGCTAAATGAAAATTCAAGTAATTTTGAAATGGCGGACGCGCTACCTGTCTGTGATGTATTATGTGAGGCGACGGAATATTTATCCAAACTTGGTTCCAATTTAAAGTTTCGCACTGATAATTTGAGAGAGAAGAAAATAAGAAAGAATTTGTTAAAAAATACACACGCTGTTCAGAAAGCCGCCAGTAAAGTATTATCGATTTGTGAGTTATCAAAAAAGTCTCTCGAAAATGTGGAAACCACTGTTAATCATCTTTTATCACAAATTGCTGCTTCGCAAAGTGCCGGCACTAAAGTGTCTCGCAGTTTAAGTGACTCAAAGGAGCCTTTTGAATATTTTGTATATGCATCAAAACAACTCAAAATTAAAAATAAGATTTCACTTGCTCATTATACCTCTGTTAAAGTTGTAGTTAAAGCTATGCCTTCTTCTATGTTAAAAAAGTTCCCAGTGCACATTGACTGCAAATTATTTCGACAAAATAAAAAAAGAATTAACAGGAAAAAACTTACTGAAGATGCAAATAATACAAAAAGTGATAATGGTAGTAAAAGTGTGAGTGAAAAGATATCAAAAAGTAATGATACAGATAGCTTATCAGTAAAACCTAGTAATGTTTATGATGAAAATATTCCTGAGGGAGACTTGAAACATAAACCTGAATCTGATGTTGATGATAACAAGAATACAAAAGCCACAAATAAAACTTCAACTTCAAGTGATCAAATAGACAATTTGGATAAATCAAGTCCAAAATCCACTAACAATGTTTCCGAAAATGTTGAGACAAGCACAGACATGTGTGAGGAAAAACAATGTAGTGATATTATTAATAAAGAAAGTGTTAATTCTGTCGATGAGAATAAAAAAACTAAAACTGAAAGGAAGAAGAGAAAATATTCAAGAATCATAAGTGACAGTTCTGATAATGAAGATGAGGAAGACAATAAAAAACTTGAAAAAAACATCAGTAATATGAAGATAAATGACACTTCAACAATATGTTTGGACAGTTCTTTAGAGGTGTCTTGTATTAATAATGAATCTACAAAAGAAAAAAATGCTGATGTTAAAAATTCAGATACCGCAGCAAATGGGAAACTTAGTACAGATAATTCTTCTGAATCTGCAGAAAGTACAAAAAAAGTTTTTCTTAAATGTATTAATATAAACAAGTTGCTAAAACCTCCAAAGGAAGATGACTGTATTATAATAAATGACGATGAGGAGGATGACATTGTTTTAAAAGATTTAAAAAAAAGAAAAAATGAATGTAAAATCAAAAATAAACCTAAGAGAAAATTTGTCAGCAACCAAGATTTAGCTGATAAAAGATACAAGGAACAAAAAGAGAAAGTGAAGTCATTTAAACCTAAAGAATTTTCTATAAATTTACAAAGATTACCGAAGTTTTCTTTAGAATTTTTGGAAACTTATAAACTAAGAAAAATAACAAAAGGCAAGTCTATTATTTTTGCTATAGAAAGTTGTTCAGAAAAAACAATAGAGGAATGTAATAGTGAAGAAAGAACCAATGTTCAGTTATCAGAGTTAGGCAAAAGTAAAAACTCAACTGGTCATTCTGACTGTGATATTACTGAGAATAATGAATATGATAAAGATTTGCTAGAAGTGACTGAAAATGTGAAGAAAGCTTTACTGGATGATAGTGATTCAGATACAAATAATTTTTTGGAGAACACTTTTGGTCCTGATAAGGAATTTAGCAACAATGAAGATAACTCAGTCTCACAAACAAAAGAGACAATAGAAAGTTTAGATAAACAACAGATAGTTTCAGAAAAAATAGCAGAAAACAATAGTGAAACCAATAATGATAATCAAGCCCAATGTGATGAAAATTTAGGACCTTCTAAATCACCATCACAACAGAGTCCTACAGAAGATTTTTTTGAATCCAACAAAGACTTACCTCAAAATAATAAAGACCTAGAATTTGTGAAATCATCTTTATTGAACAATTCTTCAGATGAAGATACAGGCAATATGAATGCAATAGAAAACTCTGACAATCCATTATCTGATAATATCTTAAATAATTCTCCAACCTCTAAAAAAAACATGGATAATCAAGACAAAAATTCATCATTGGAGTCCTGTGAAATGCCAGAGCAAGTGAAATCACCTTTGTCCAATAAATCAAATTGCTCAAACAATAAAAAATGTGTATCACCAGTTGACCAAGAAATTATAAAATCATCATTACTAAATGATTCCTCAAATGATTCATCTACATCTCAAAAAAGAGATAGAAATAATGAAGATGCATCACCACATAATGATGTAGGCAGGATAAAATCATTGTTGCTTGATGATTCCTCATGTGCTTCATCAACTTCACATAAATCGGAGGGTAGTCATGGAAAAAATAAATCACCACATCCCAGTGATGATCATGATAACATAAAATCGTCATTACTTGATGATTCATTACATAGTGATCCTACAACTTCTCAAAAGCAAAGTAGTCATAAAGAAGATAATATTGATGTAGAGCAAATAAAATCATCACTATTAAAGGATTCTGATGATTCATCAAGTTCACAGAAAATAAAAAAAGACAATGAAAGGAGCCCGAAACAACTTGATAAAGAACAGGAACTAATAAAATCATCATTACTTAATGATTGTTCAGATTGTTCTCCGTTGAAATCCCAAAAAGACAAAGACAGTGAAAAGGAGACCCCACCAAAATTAAGAAAACGTATCATGGAAAATATGCGCGCTAAAAAAATGTTGTTAACATATTCATCAAGTTCAGATACAGAGGATGAGCAATTGAGAAATGCTTTAAAAGAAATAAAAGATTCCTTACTTAAAGAGATATCAGACGATAAAAGTAAACATAGAACTGAACATCATTCTGAATCAAGTTCTGATAAAGATATGAATCTATCATTAAGAAAGAGAAATAGGAAAAGAAAAAAGAAGAATTTGGATACAGAAGATAAAACAAAATCTCGAAAGAAAATAAAGATAAAACCAAGCAATAGTAGCGATGACGAAAACTCTAACTCGTCGTTTCGCAAGGTTCGCTTTAAGTAATAATACTATATATTGTAATTAGCAAAACAATTAATCTATAAAAATTAGACATAAGTTACTTTATTCGTAATTCCAAGTGTTTAAACACATTTATAACACTTTTATTGTTATATATAATATATATAATCTTTAAAAGAGAATAAGACAAATGAAAATATGTAGTGCATTAAAACTAAATATTAGATGGTACGACCAGACCATACATGTAATGAAAAATTGTTAATTTTTTGATTTCCGAATCTGTATCATTACAGAAAATTGAATTGCATTTGTGACCGATATTTCTGATTTTCACTTCTTCCATTTATTCATATCATTCCATTAAGAATTAAAAATCTAGATATAATTGTGGGCTTATTAAAAATTAAAAATACCTACTTGCAGATGGGCGGTACTAGAACTAAACTGGGCAGTAGCAGCAGTCAATATTCAGACGGTCAAGATATAAATGACAAAGTCGTTGATAGGTAAATATTTATTTATTTATAGGGAGATTGAATATTTGTTTGAAAATAACTGTGAAATGACATAAAAAATGTCATTTCAACTGTAAAGCCCAATTAACTGCCCATTTACAATAATATAAAAAGTTTTGACTTTTGTAAAAACATTTAGATTGTAATGATATAGCCTATTTGCTTTATTCTCTCATAGTTTATTTTATATTAATTCTAAATGGAAGAGTTTTTTTAGTTTGTAGGAAAATTTCGAAATTTATTACAATACTTAAGTGGTAAGGAGCACCAGATATATGTTTTTTTGTTGTTAATTAAAAATATTAAAATAAAAGCTAAGCTAAGTATAGCTTGTCCCTTATAAAACATGTTTTCTTTCATATGTTTGAATGCAAATGCGTGCAACAATAGAAAAGATATAATAATTTAAAATTGATGTAAAAGTCTTCAAATGCATTGGTCATAGGAGCTAATATAACTAAAGTAGTTTGAAAGCATTGACCTAAACAATTTTTTTTTCAACTATTTGACTTATTAGTGGTATAAGATACTTTTATACAAGTTTTTTTGTAGTTTACTTTTTTCTCTATTGCTTACTACCATAGCATAAAATTTGATTTTTAGCGCTATTTTTCTCATAATTATGTAAAATGCAACTTTAAATAGACATATGACTTTAATAAACTTGAATAAATTGAATCAAGGTGTTTTATTTTATTCCACAATTGGTCTATTATTCATAGTTAATTTGTAATTGGACAGTTAAAGGGGTTTTTACTAATATTACTTTTTACTATCCTAATTTCCTTTTGTCTTTATATTTGCATGGCTCTTAGTTTGTTACTAAAATTTCAGACTCTCTAGAAAGAAACACTAGAGTTAGTAGTTTGGTTTCACAGCAAATAATCATGTTTTTATTTTGTGAAAGGTGAGTGAGTAGTACTTGATAATTTGCTACAATTTTGGTACTATTTTTCATTTTTTGTAAGTTCGTATTCTTGCCCAGCTATCTTTAGACTCGGAAATTGGTTAATTTTTATAATTACCTAATTTTAGTCCTGTTTTCCTACCCAATTTTTTTTATAAGAGGGATGCAAAGAGGTGGATTTCGTAGCGGCCCTTAGCAATACGCATAGAAACTGAGAAATCTGAATAAGAACCCAGTAAGTCCCCTACTCCGTCTATAAAATGTAGGCAAGGCACGCACAACGTCACTTCGCTATTTAGGCGAATTTAAGTGTCCATATGCTGTTTGCCACATTTTACTATTAAAACAAAAATTCTCCATTAGAAACCACATGATATGAAAGATATTCCTAAAGGCGTTTGTATTCCAGACTGACGAATCTGAAGAGTTTGCATAAGTCGCGACGTCGGAGTTCGTCTGAGGAGAGCGCGGGGAGCGGGAAGCCCAGTAGTACGGACAAGGACGAGATGCCGAAAGTGCCCCGCATCGCCACCGAGAGCCTCCTTAAGGCGGAGTCCAGCTCGGACGCTACCTCTTTAGCTGGCAGCGAGGAAGTCTTAGAGGAGGAGGTCGAAGGTATGGTAATAGAAATAATTTATAGCAATTATAGGTATCATAGTATCATCAGGCTTTTTCTCTTTCTGTAGGTTTTCCCAAATGCCTTCCACAGTATGCGGACGTCCGCTTTTCATATATACTTCATGAAATCGTGTTAGTATCATCAAAACAGTGTTATGTCACCTCATATTTTGATATTCCTAAAACTATTTAGTGTACTCAGTGTAGTTTCGCTAATTCGGCGAATTCAGTTGGCTTGTTTAAAAATTGTAAATGAATAAAAAAATAATTTAACATTTTTACAGAACTGCCAGCAGTAACAATGTCTGCCCTCAATGGTGATGGAGTGCATCTCGCTAAAGCTGACTTATTGGAAGACAGTGATTCGTCTAGCTCGCATAATAAATCACAAGAGGTATTTATTCCTTTTATATCATTGAAAATACAGTGGTTGTTCCATATAGCAATATTTGAAAAAAATTATTTGATTTTAGAATTTTTTAAGGTTTTGTTGAATTTTTTTCCAGGATGAAAAGAATTTAGAAGCCATTGATGATCAAACTGAAGATGAAAAGTAAGCAATTTTTTGATGTTTTCAAAATTTAAATATTTTTCCAACCTTATTAAAATTTTCCTTTAAATTTAAGACTGAAGTCAAGACGTCGAAAAGCGCTAGCGATTTCGTCTGACTCTGAGGCGGGGTCGTCGCGCCGTCGAGACCGGGACCGCGGCCGCGACAAGCTGAGTGACTTCGAGGATTCAGAGGACGACGGCTCCGAGCCACAAGGAAAGAAGAAAAGGAAGAAGAAACCAGCTGATAGCGATGATAATTCCTCTGTAGAAAGCGGGTGAGTGGTACAAGCACCCATGAACATAGACTAATTAAGGGGGTCAGGTACACGGGGTCCAAATCACTGGAGATTAATTTACAGGGTCCCTTATTTTTATTTGAAATGTAAAGATATCTTTACATGTTATTTACATGGTACATATTTAAAATAACATTAAAAATACAGGAAGAAGAAACGACGCCGCATTAAAAATGTAGATGACACCGACGATTCTGATTCAGACACTGAAAATGAGGGTAGAAATAAACATGGCAGAAAGAATATACGTAAGGTAAAAAATCACGTTTCCACACTTAAAAAAAATGATTTCATAGTAATTTGAGATGTTAATAATATAATTTCTATAGGTAATGGGTAAAAATCAACTAGAGGAGGCAACTAAAAAGGCAGCGCGCGAAGAGAAAGAAAGAATTGCTCGAATTGCTGAACGTCAAAAGCTGGTGAGTGCATTTTTATTATGAAAAGTTCATTAATAAAATATATTTTTTTATTACTACTAACGAAAAATTTGTACTGAAACATATTATTGTCTGTATGTTTCAATAGAAAAAAGAATGACAAAATGTTTTTTCTTACAACCATTTCAAGAATAGGAACCCACAGTCTGAAAAATTGCATAAAAAAGAATGTTAATCCCTTGCATGGTTGTAATTTCACCAGCACAATTGTAACATTTTATTCAAATGTATGTTTTATATTATTTCAGTACAATAATATGGAATTTGATGAGTCCGGCAAACCTGATGAAGTAAAATTAGAGAAGGTCGTGCTTGACTTCGATCCTGAAACAAAGGAGCCGCTGATTGAAGTTGACAGAGGACTTGTTAAGAAATTAAAACCACATCAGGTAAAACAAAATATATTAATAATTATTATACTAATAAATACCCATATTAATAACTGATACTCATAGTTTATTAGACACTCAGGAACGAAATCAACACTAAGCAGCAGTGACTGCCAGTTTATCACAAAACCTATATTTGTTGTGTATTTTTCACAGCTTATTAAAAATCTTGTTTTATTTTTAGGCAAATGGCATCAAATTCATGTGGGATGCTTGCTTTGAAAGTGTGAAACGGATCAAAAAGAACAAGGGCTCAGGATGTATTTTAGCTCATTGTATGGGTCTAGGAAAGACATTACAGGTATGTATAATAAACTCCCAACAATATTATATAAGTACAACTTTAGAATTAAGAATTACCAAATTATCAGAAATAATGTGACCTTATTTGTGGTAATTAATATATTTTATGCCGTGAATTCAAAAATATTTCTAGTAAAAATCTCATGTTAATAAAACACATAGGTATTCGTTTAAAAGTAAAAAAAAAAAAGTTTAGATTTCCACAACGAAAAACTATTTAGGTACTGAGGTTTCTTAACTAATAAACGTCCCTCCAGTTAATCTTTTAATTATTTCTTGTTTCCAGGTTGTGTCTCTAACACATACTCTGCTCACCCACAACGATTTAACCGGCGTGAACCGCGTGTTGGTCGTGTGTCCGCTCTCGACTGTACTTAACTGGGTCAATGAGTTTCGAATGTGGCTGAAACACGCTGAAAGAGAGAGTGAAGTTGATGTTTATGAGCTTTCTAGGTAAGAGATTTAATTTCTGAGATATAATTATAGAAAATAATGTCCTATCGCGGCTAGTTGCTTAGTAGAAATAACAAATTACATTAATATAGTAGTAACAGATGTTCTTTCAAATATCTTGGTAGCCCATGGTCGTTGGTGTGATGCGCAGCCACTGATAGCAAATATCTGAGCCGCCAAGATATTTGAAAAGACTTATACCCCATCCTATATCACGAAATGTGACTATTTTCTTTGCCGCATACAACAAGATAGATAGTGCTAATCGACTTAACTGGACGTTTCAATAATGATTTTTTTATTTGTTGTGTATTTGTAGGCACAAGCAGAATTCTGAGCGCGCGTACCAGCTGCAGCAGTGGTACGAGAGTGGCGGCGTGTGCGTACTCGGCTACGAGATGTTCCGCAACCTCTCAGCTGACAACTCCAAGAAGTTCAAGAAGAAGATGCTCAAGACATTCCAGGAAAGCCTCGTTGACCCTGGTATGATTGATAACATAAAATAATATTTTATTCATCTGTAAAAATTTTCAAACAACTAAAACCCAAATCTTAATACTTTTAAACTAAATGAGATTGAGTGATGTTCATATAAGGTATAAGACATAAAACGGACATTGTCTTGTGTATGTTTTTATTTACAAAACATATTTTAAAGTAATGAAGTTTTTAATAGTAATTTTATCTGCACGGTAGGTCCTGACATGGTGGTATGTGATGAGGGTCACCTGCTAAAGAACGAGAAGACGAGCCTGTCACAGTCCATTAACAGAGTGAAGACGCTGCGCCGTATTGTCCTCACAGGCACGCCGCTTCAAAACAACCTTAAAGAATGTAAGATTTAACAAGTATTGAATATTAAATTAGTTATTATTTTCCTTTTTCCGATTGGTATCTTACTAATATAAAAGCAAAAGTTTGGATATATGGATTTGTCTAGAAGAACACTTAGGCTACTTACTAAGTTTTTACGTGTGGCGTAGTGGGCGACAGCTAATTAACTATATAATTCTGTTTGCAGATTATTGCATGGTACAATTCGTGAAGCCGAATCTCCTGGGCAAGTACAACGAGTACTTGAACCGCTTCGTGAACCCCATCACGAATGGACAGTACACCGACTCCACGGAGCACGACATACGCATCATGAAACGACGCTCCCATGTCCTGCATAAGATGCTAGATGGCGCTGTACAGGTAAATACGAACACTGAAACATGATAACGAAGGACCAAATTAGTCGTGAATTTAACTTTATCTTAGATGTAATCATATATGCCAATTGGCTGGAAAGTAGCGCAGTTGTTTCGAATTTGGAATAATTGTCAACTACGTCTGTTCATAATCTCACTAGATCTGTTTCTGAATGTAAATTCATGGAAATTGTCGAATTGCTGCTAAAATTTATTTGTTATATCAAAGAAAGCAAATCTGTTAATATTTACAATCAAGACAAGGTGCTTGTAAACAATGTAAAATTTCAATAATTCCAGAGGCGAGACTACGGGGTGCTGGCGCCCTTCCTGCCTCCGAAGCACGAGTATGTGCTATTCATTACGCTGTCCGAAGTGCAGATCAAATTATATCAGCATTATCTTGATAACTACTCCAGAAGGTAAATACATTTATGTTATGTAATGTAAACTCAAAGTCGAATTAATGTTTGTAAGAAAATTTTTCATTAAGAATAACCTAAAAATATCATTGTCTTATTTAGATTTTTACGAAACAAAACTTCCTTTCCAAATTGCCTCAGAATCCTACTAAAGTTTAATCAAAATGTGTTTAGTAGTTTTTAAAGGTATTGAGCAAAACTAATATTTTTATTTATATGGACTTTAAAATGCAATAAATCTATTTGGTATTGATTTATTATATAAAAGTAACAGGTTATTAAAATTTACTCCAGGCCATTACCAGGAAAGTCATCAGGATTCCTCTTCCCGGACTTCCAGTCCTTGCAAAGGATATGGACACACCCCTTGGTGCTCAAATATAATTCAGAGAGATATGAAATCATGCAGCAGAAAAAGGTATCATTTTCAAAAATAAAAAAGGTTTTCTTTTATATATAAATGTGAGGATGACAAAATTTTATTAATTATAAATCAACTTTCAGAGGGAGAGGGAAGAAGAGGAAGACTCCGAAGGATCTCTTGCTGATTTCATTGATGATGAGTCCACACCTGATGTGAGTTTTATTTATATTTCTATAAAATTATGGTTATAATTAAACATGTAACAATATTAAAATCTTGATAATGGTTATTATTTGTATAGGAAAGTTCAACGGCAGAATCTTCAGAGGAATATTCAGATGGGAGTGATGACAGCCATAAGAAGAATAAAAAGAAGAAAGCCGCTAAGAAAGGGAAAAGTAAAGTGACTACGCGACGTGGCACCAGAGCTAATCCAAGTAATTTATTTTTATAATTTTTGTTCTCATATCATTAATTTGATCTACGACTTGTTTTGTAAGATAGCTAAGTTACAATATGGAAGTGAATCTGCCCGAATAAGTCTTAAGTTTTTAGTATAGATCCATCTCTGGTTTAGTTTTATAACTAGTCATATAGTTTATAACTAAACAAAAGAATGAAAAAATGATTCCCATAAGGGGCTGGTTTTGTTTTTGATATTCATATAATAAATAGTTCATTGGCTTAAGTGTTTATTAAAATGTATCTGGTGAACAGCGGAACAACTAGAAGAAGACGAGAAGTCAGTGGAGATGCTGGAAGAGAAGAATGAGAACCCAACGGAGTGGTGGGTGAAGCTGGTGTCGGATGACGAGCTGGAGGATATGCGCAACTCTCACAAGCTGGTCTTACTCTTTGATATACTACGCCAGTGCGAGGCCATCGGGGACAAGTTGTAAGTTAACTAAACATAATCTATTCTAAATATAAAGATTTTAAATAATTTAAACATTTGCCAGAGGAATGCAATATTTACCGTGGGTTTCTGACACCAAAATCATCCGTTTAAAACATATTGTTATCAGGCATGATGATATGTTTTATACAGAGATTTTGGTGTCAGAAACCAACATTTAATCCATCATAATGTCTCAGAGATTTTTATCATTTTTTTTGTTTTTAAATAATAAAAAAATATTGTTCATAGGTTGGTATTCTCACAGTCTTTATATTCATTGGACTTGATCGAGCACTTCTTAGCGAAAGTCGATGAGGCAACACAAGAGGGACGCATTGATGAGAAACTTGGCGGCCATGTGGGTAAGATGATTATTTTCATATCATTGTTATATTCCGATGCGTAGTTTGCCACATATCTCTCTTCCTTTCCTATTATAAATACATCTCCATAACGGCTTTATGGATTTAGCTGCAATTAGGAATAGATGTTGAATAATATATGGAAGAACACATAGGCTACTTATCTAGTTTTTTTTTAATTCCGCGCGAACGAAGTCGCGGTTTAAGGGTAGTCTACGTTATAGCAAACTTGATTAATGCAACACAAATCTAGACTATTGATAACTGTTGTCTAGATAGCTGATGAATAACAGCTGATTCTTTTAAATAATATTGTTACGTTTGATGTACAGGTTCGTGGTCACCAGGCATAGATTACTTCAGACTGGATGGATCTATATCCTGCGAGAACAGATCCATATGGTGCAAGAACTTCAACAGGGAAGACAACCCTAGGGCTAGGTGAGTTTAATTATTGACTCTGGGGGGGAAAGTGGTATGTTAAATTTTGCACCTTTAAACAAATTTAACTTTATTAACCACGCTAATAAACATGCTTTAATACTCACATAGTTAAAAACCTAAATATATTTTCCAGATTGTTTCTAATATCGACGCGCGCGGGCGGGCTGGGTATCAATCTGGTGGCGGCGAACCGTGTCGTCATATTCGATGTGTCGTGGAACCCCTCGCATGACGTGCAGAGCATCTTCCGCGTCTACCGCTTCGGACAGAAGAAACCATGCTATGTATACAGGTTTCTAGCTATGGTAAGTTCACACAGATTATTAAAAAAAAGACTTTTCGTCTTGGATTTGATATCTCACTGAAGTCTATATCTATATATCTATAATAAAAAAAATAATTATGATTAAAAAAAAAATGTTATTACATTTACGTTACTCTAGGGTACGATGGAAGAAAAGATCTACGAGCGTCAAGTGACGAAGCAGGCGATATCGAAGCGTGTTATCGACGAGCAGCAGATAGATCGGCATTACGCGGAGAACGACCTCGCCGAGCTGTACAAGTTCCTGCCGCGCCCGCCCGCGCCGCGCCCCCTGCCGCCTCTGCCTAAAGATAGGCTCTTTGCCGAACTACTGCGCGAGCATGACGCACAGGTAACATACTAACAAACAAACATAACTACAGTTTTAAAGCCCAAAACTTGCCTTTTTTGCTCACTATAAATGTCGGCATGATCAAGTCCGGCAGTAGCATACAAAAGAGAAAAGTACTCTGGATACAAACAATTAAAACATTAGTAAAATTTATATATTCGCGGAAATAAAAATCCTAATTGAGTAGTCTATGGGTTCTTCTTAAACTATGTTCTACATCTATGCCAAATCGCAGATAGATCTTGGCTAGATATGATTGTAAAATGTATATATTTTCAGATATACAAATACCACGAGCACGACTCGCTGCTAGAGAACAAGGAGGAGGAGACGCTGAGCGAGGAGGAACGTAAGGCCGCTTGGGAGGACTTTGAGAATGAGAAGAATCGCCCTCCGCCTGCGCCCTTCCCTGCCGCCTGGCCTATGCCCAATGGAATGAGTAAGTACCGTCTGTATTTATTTTTTTAGCTGCTAAATGATAGTTGCGAGCTTCGCAGTTCCCTTCCCCGCGTATTTTGTGCAAATTGACGAAATATAATACCAATTACTATCACACTGACCACAAAGAGATATATATATTTCAGACATCCTATTTAATTTCTGTATGTTTCCAGTGCCCGGCTTACTGGCGCAGCAACAGCAACAGCTGGCATACGCGGCGCTGGACGCCATGCTGCGCAAAGACAATGTCAGCGAGAGCCGGATACAAGAATTGTTGCCGCTCATATATAATACTAACCCCGGGGTAAGTTTATTCAGCAGTGTAAAGGTTAAAGCAAGATTAATACCACACAAAACCTTTTTTAACTTTAGTAAAAAGTATTAAAATATTTTTTATAAAACAAACATTTATTTGTTCAGATGTTCGGTGGATATGATTATGGCGTAAGTTACAGTCGATATTTGTGCTGTCCCTTGACACATTCAGTGCCACAGGCTTGCTATGTTCACTTTCTGAAAGTCGTGGCAGTGAACGTGTTAATCCTTTTTGCTAAACGCCATCGTATCTGTATGCATGTCTTGCTAGAGTGACCAAATAGTATGGTCAAATGGTATTTCTTTTCAAATATTTTTTACTTTATATTTTTGTATGAGTAAATATTTATCACTACGTAGTTGTAGTTATATGTTATTTATTTTGTTGTAACAAACGTTTTTGCAATCTGAAATGAAAAGCCCGTTGGCAAAAATATGTAACCAAAATTATGTTGTCAGACTTAATTTGTGATGTAGTTATTTTCATTTGCTGAATGTGGAATGTTTTTTTATTTCTGTAATTTATCGTATGTGCTCAAGATTAATATTTTATCTGGTATATTACAGTTAATGCAGAAAATGAGTGAACTATACAAGTACGCTCCACCCGGCATGATGAATTCAGGAATGATGAACCCCGTTATGAATCCTGGTGAGTGAAAATTATGATGTATTTTTTGTACACAGTACATACATTGTACACATTACACACCCGCACACTTTACACACTTGTACATGATGGACACCTGTGTATGTACTATGTAATTATTATATTGATATTTGTTTATGCCGCAGGTGGTGGTGCGGGTGGCGCGGGCGCAGCGGGTGCGGGTGCTCTGGGCGGCTCCAGCGGGCTGCAGTACGAGCCGCCGTGGCTCCGTCAACAGAAGCAGCAGCAGATGCGCCTGCAGCAAATGGTGCAGCAGCAACAGGGCGTGAGTTAACAATATAATATCTAAGTGGAATTGTAATTGACTTTTAAAATGATTTCTTTGCCTTGGAAGATCATATTATATTTGCTGTTTTAGTGTAAGACATACTTTAAGCGGCGTGTTGTGATAATAGTAATGTTTTATCTTGTAATATATGCGTTTCTATCATACGATACGATATCGTGGCGGCCAAAGTCGTCTGTGTTCTACACAGCGACTAGCGCGAAGTAAAAGCCGCCTAGATATCTGAAAACTATTGTATCAATATCATGTATCCTATATGTGTATGTAGATGGGCGCTAAGTACTACGCTGGAGGTCTCGGCAGTCGTGACCCGGTGGCGATGGCGCTGCAGCAGCAACGAGCGCGTGAGATCATGCTGGGTGAGCGCGGCAGACCGCGTGGCCGTCCGCCGCTCGCGAGGCCACCGCCTACCACCGACGTTGTCAACCTCGCAGACTCCGACTAGGTCAGTACTCTGATTAGTGCGTTTTGAATAAAAATTTATATAAACTGAACCACATCGTTAAGAATTATAAAATAAAAATTAAAAAACTTATTAGAACAGGTATTATTTAAATATTACTTCAAAAGTTTTTGGAAAAGGCAATTTTTTTGTTGAAATCTGTACTTTTCAAGGTTTAGACAAAATAACATAACAAATTTTTTACTGTCAAATTTATTAACAAAATTTTCAAATCCTAGCGTCTATGATTTACATTTTCCTTTTATTTTCAGATGATCAGTGTATAGTGGACATGTACAGTGTGTGATAGGGTGGTGGTGTGGAGTGGAGTAGCTCACAGCAAGTGGGCAGAGGACTCTAACAGTGAAATGCAAGTGTTGACATGCCCAGGCTTACGCTAAAACTACACATATCAAGAATCTCTTGGGTAAATTTTCCCATTGGGTCGTTTGAATCCATTGATTCAATCGACTCAATGAGAGAAAAATTCCATTAGGCCGTTTGGCATAATGGTAAACACCCAATCTCTTTAACTGAATTTCCGCTGACAAAACAACCAAAAAAAGATTTTTTCATTTCTATAATACTCTTTGAAAAGATAGAACAATATGTTTTTATTTAAATTTCTCTGCAATGAAAATTCTGAGCATTACTATGAGTTTTGACTGCAACGACATCTATTGACACTTATTGTCATCTCTCATATTCTTTTTGAAAGAACAGAGATAACAATAAGTAACATACGATTATCACATCAGTAGAAATGTACAGTAAGGCGGACAGTTCGTTTTTACATTGCGCAAATAAACAATATATTATGCTTTTGTTTATTTCATCAGAGAATGATAATAAACAGGAGTCACAAGAACTTGTGTTATTTACATTAATTGTTCCTTTGAAAATGTTATGGTGAAAAAAAAATATTTAAACCCTATATGGAATGGTGTAATTTTATTGTGTTATGCGCAGTGGAACCAGAACTTAATCTTATAGTAATCTATGCTTAATAAAGTTAAAATTTAAAAGAAATTACAATAGTTCTGATACTTAAAAATTTTACTTGTAATCTTGTAAGTTTTAACTATATTTAGCAAGCATTCACTAAATGATATAGTGGTTTATATAATAAAAACTTCCAACTATAATAAAAAAGCCACATATCATAAGAATCTCCATAGTATAAATTACATTTTTAGCTTACACAGCGAAAGCCTAAGGCATGCTTAACAATTGGTAAAAAATTATACTTTTAAGATTGCACTTGTATAATATCAAAATTCATAACGGCACTTTGAATCTCAGATGTAGATTAACTTTCATGGCGATGAGAAAAAAAAACTATGATGGTCCTTTTAATGAGCTTAACACTTTCACAGTCATTGACACCAAAATCTGCCATCACTATAGTGTGATCAGTACAGTCTATGCCCCCAATGTGGGTTCACTGACAGAATTGTCAACATGCAGTGCCTCCACAGTAGGCACACGGTCGCAAACGAATACTTGGTAATGTAATCTTATATTTAATCTTTACTACATATAAGATTTAACTACATTCAGACCATAAGTAGCCAAAGTAGTACAAACTGTGAAAGTGTTAGTGGGATGTTTTTAACTATATCTTTCAGTACAGGAACTTAGTAGTAAGCTATGTACGTGAGTAGTTTAAGTGTTCAACATCTAACACTTGACTGGACTTAACACTTTCAATGCCACTAGGATTATTTGTGTGGCATTGAATATGTTAACTAAATTTTTTGCACAGATTTACAACTGAATTGTATCATTAGTTGAAAATACATTTTTCATTTCACTAAATGTAAACATTTCGATATTAGATAAAGAAATCTATGTATTAAGAATATATTGTTTACAATTAATTTCTTATAAAAATCATAAATATTTGTTGATTTATTAGTTAACAATGACTGTAATCCTGTTATTTAAGTTGGCGATAAAGGTACAATTTGAACATTCATTATATATTAGTTACGTAATAAAAAACTTAATCTAAATAGAGATTTTCCGTTCAAATGTACTGGGTTACTATAAGTGTTTCTTCTATGTTTTTTAAATGACATAAAAATGGTAGAAAGTGGCCGCCATTACGTAATTTAATGTATTAAAGAATTCAAATACGAATGATTAGTAATGCATTTTTGAGTTATTTAACATTTAACTCTATTGGGCCCATGAACACTTTAGTTTCTCAGTGAATTTTAGCAAATATCAATGACAAAAAATTTGATAATATTTATCAGATAGTAGACAATCTTGTAATTTTCATATTAAAACAAAAAGAAATAGCATAAATCCATAGAAATAGTTGTAATGGCCTATTTGTTTTGGTATATTTCACCACAAATTCAGATTTTTATCTTTGACATATTCTTTATTCAGATGATCCACAAGAAAAAAAAACATGACAATTTCGTATAATCTATATTTTGTTATATTTTTTTTCTGTTACAATTTTTGCCTCATTCATATATTGCAATATTGTTTAATAAAACTACAATTATAAAAATTATATAGTGATTTAAAGATTTTATATATAAAAAATATTATTCAAAAAATGTGTAAAAACACATTCTATTATTTATTTGATTAAACATTATTGAATTTTTTATATCACATTTTATATGTTTGCACAAATTTCACACAACAGTCTTCTTCCTGCGATTTTCTTTTACAAAATGTTATGATTAAGGAGTATAAATTAATTTGCAATAGGCAATATAAGGTTTTTAGTTTTTATGAATTGTATAACCCAAAAAAGGTTTGCATTTAAATTACACAGAGTTATTTTATGTAATATAAAACAAATATAATAATAGTGTCTTCATGTTGTCTCATGAATAGTAATCAATGTAGAGGTAATTTTGATATTTTAAAATATATTAGTAGAGTGAGACAAAGTGCATTTGCTTCGAAGCAATTCCATAACGAATTAAAAAAAATGTATGAAATTGACATATGACAATCACATGACTTATCAAAAGTTATTGTCAGTTCTATATGTTTTTATGTTCGTTATAGAATCCCTTCAAAGCGAATGCACTTTGTCTAACGCCCCAGCTCTATGGTTCCCTTCAATTTTAGTTCAATCCATTTCAAGTTTTAATTAATAAGATATATACTAAAGAGGTATTGCCATCACTTATTCTCATTGAAAAACAAAAAGAGGTAGCAATGTTTTTATTAAGGTGTCCAGGAATAGAAACTTATAGTAAAACTTGTTAGGGCAAAGGTTTTAGTTATTAATGAGTATATGAACATTTTATTGATAATATTTCATGTCACCTGTTTTGGGTTATATATGCAATAATGGATACATTGAATTGTGTACTTTCAGTCCGAAATAGTACCGGGCGGTTTAGTTGTGATATTGCCTAATATTAAACATTTTTCGTATACGTTTATTTTTATTGAAGTCACCATTGTGACATTTAATGTAAGATTTTGGCGATTATTATAGTTATATTTTAGTCTACAATAAATTATACCTAACCATATGACAGTAGTGCAACTCAAATGAATGTTTATTAAATCATTATACACTAAGAACAGAACCTTAGAGTTTTAAAAATTTGACATTCTTTATGGTTACAATTCTTTAACCATAATGTATGTAACCATAACAAAATTAAAATTTAAAGATTTCTTGTATTTTTTTGTTGGGTTCTCTGAAGTTTTGCTTTTATTCAACCATTTATTGCAACATTATAATGCAAATATTCATAGTGTATAATGAATATTAAATGATTTTTTTTTACATAATTTTGTATTCAATATGTCATAGGGTTGTGTTATTTATATTTACACAAATTATTACTGCGCAGTATTTTATTTAGAATTAAGGTTTTTTCACCGTACTGATTTTATGTTGAAGTATCAAAGTTGAATAACTCTTTTCATGAATATATCTGTTATTGGAGACGCCTGTGAGAAAGCTTTGTGAGGGACTGCTGTAATTGTTTTATTATTTATGTAATATATAATTGTAACTGTAGAAATCTTCCTATTATTTTGTAGTACAATTGAAGTATAATAAATAATAATACTAATAGGTATAATTTTTATTGACTTTTCCTTGTTATTTACATTAGCAGACTTGGATAGACAAGAGTCCAAGGGATGGCAATATTTTTCTCGCTCATGGAGATTTTCCTATTTGGAGAGGGAAATGCCTCTATTATAGAGATTTCTTGTTTGTCTGGATTTGAATGTAGTTTAACGAATATGCCATAAGCACAGTGTACCTTTTGGTAATTTTTTTCCCCACACGGCTCATAAATTACAAGAAATCAAGTCTTTGTAATAAAAAAAACTTTTAAATGTGATTCAAATTAAACTTTTGCTTACAAAATACCACATGTATCAAATATTTAAATTGGGAACACCTGTTTCGACACCAATAGAAACTTCTATATACCTTAACAGCCTTTGAGCTAATGATACAGCTTCATGTCTCACAAACACATTTGCATTTAACATGTCCAAGTTTTCCTCCGTGGAAAAGGCTATTAAATCACTTGCACTGACTGCCATTGCGTTTACAGGTGCTCCACCGGCGTTTACCAGCACAACACGACGAGCTCTAAGGTCAGGATCAACCTGACTCAATGCATTTTTAGTCCATTCCAAGCAAAATAATATATTTGTATCCATAGCTAAAATTACAAAGTCCATTCCCATTCTCCCTGTTAAATTCGACACTTCCACAAGTTTTTCTAAATCGAAGGAACGTAGAATTATAAGTTTCCATTTATATGTACCTTTTGAATGTACATCTGTAAGTGCTTCAGCAATTCTCTCTATAATTTCAATATTTGTTGAAATAACAACAACTGTTAACACATTTTTACTTGATAAAGATCCCACCCAGGGTGCAACTATTACGTCTTCATTATCAGAAGACATTTTATTTAAAACTTTAGGTAGTTATGTTTTCAAAATAACTTTAACGACTTTTTGAATAGAAAAATTGAAATTTTAAATTGTGTTTGACAAACGACATTGACACGGCATTTTTTTTTATTTTATGACTTGGTAGTATAGACTTTTAGGTCATTGACACGACACGAAGTTGTAGTGGCTACAGAGTACATATGCACAGAAGGGTCAAAGCCATAAATATTTTTAGGCTGATAATTATTTTTCTTAGATCTGAGCTCAGAAAAAAATGACTAAATACAAAGTCTTGTTCTAATTTATATTAAAATTACAAAATATTAGTAATGTTCTAATTTATATTAATATAGTAGGTGACATGCCCTTACTGTAATATCTGCTCTTTGAGGTTTCAACTTTCAATTTATTTGGCCAAATAAGATATGACCTAAAGGTCTATGTTACCAGGTCATAAAATTAAAAAAAAAATATTTGGTGGGAAACTAGGAAATAACCAAAACAAAATAAGACTTGAAAATTTTAAAACAAGTGTCTGTCTTTAGTTTCAACAATATGCGGCGGCGGGATGAAAAATTTCCTGAAAATGGATTTGAAGATGGTGGAGGTTATATGCAAGTTAAAATTGCAAAACTGGAAGCCCAATTTTCTAGTTGCGCTGGGAAAGAAGTAATTAGATTATCTAATATATTTAATGGTGTATCAATTTACGTAAATGGCTTTACAAAACCATCTGCTGAGGAACTAAAAGAACTTATGGCACAACACGGTGGTGTTTATCACACTTATCAACGAAGTAATGACTACATAATTGCTTCTAATTTGCCTGATACTAAAGTTAAGAATATGTCTCTTTCCAAAGTGGTTAAACCTGAATGGATATCTGACAGTATTGCTGCTAATAGTTTATTAGACTATAGAAAATATTTATTGTATAAAAACTCCAGAACTCAACCTCAATTAAACTTCAACAAATTAACTGCAACAAACATTAAAACTAATGAAAGCCACATAAAGGATGAAAAGGACAATATTAAACTGAATTTAAAGTATAACAATTCTGATAAACAAATCAATGAAATGTTGGGTGCAAATACTAATGTTTCTACAACAGACACAAAACCTGCCTTAAATAAAGTTTATACAAATGACTGTATAGCAAAAACAGCAGTTGACCCAAATTTCATATCTGAATTTTATAATAATTCAAGACTTCATCACATATCTCAATTGGGGGCATTCTTTAAACAGCATGTTAATGATTTAAGAGATGCAAGTGATTTTTCTTTCCCTGCCCGTGCTACACTTAAAAGTAAAATTTTTTCTTCTGGCACTTCACTTGTGGCAGATACCAATTTTGATAATGGCAAAGTGATTATGCACATAGACATGGACTGTTTTTTTGTGTCTGTTGGATTACGCAAAAGACCAGAGTTACGAGGGAAACCTGTTGCTGTTACACATTCTAAAGGATCAAAGCCTCAAACAAAAAGAGAAGGGGTAGATAGAAATACTGAATTTAACTTATATAAGCAAAAACAAGCTAAGAAATTGGGTAAAGTGACGGGTATAAAAGAAGATGAAATTGTTTTTGAAAGTAGAGTAGATAATGTTGGTGATGAAGACAGTGAATATGGATCTTTGAGTGAAATAGCCTCATGTTCATATGAAGCGAGAGCTAAAGGCATTAAAAATGGTATGTTTATGGGACCTGCTTTAAAATTGTGCCCTAATCTGCAAACCATACCTTATGATTTTGATGGGTACAAGGAAGTAGCATACACCTTGTATAATACAATAGCGCAGTACACACTTGATATAGAGGCTGTATCTTGTGATGAAATGTATGTTGACTGTAGTGAGCTGCTAAAAGATTTAAAAGTTAGTGTTCAAGATTTTGCAACAGCATTAAGAGAAGAAATAAAAGACAAAACTGGATGTCCATGTTCAACAGGATTTGGCAGCAATCGATTGCAATCTAGACTTGCTACAAAACGAGCTAAACCAGATGGGCAGTTTTTCCTTACCTCAGATTTAGTAGAAGACTTCATGTTTGGCATAACACTCAAAGACTTACCTGGGGTTGGTAGACAGACATCCCAAAAGTTGGAGTCTTTAGGTCATCAAACTTGTGGATCTTTACAAACTCTTACATTAGGCTTACTCCAGAGGCATCTGGGCAATAAAACAGGGGCACAGCTATTTGATCAATGTCGCGGACGCGATCCAAATCCATTGACATTCCATACAATTAGGAAATCAGTATCTGCAGAGGTAAATTATGGGATAAGATTTGAAACAAATGATCAATGCTTTCTCTTCTTAAAACAACTATCTGCAGAAGTACACTCCAGAATGCAACATTTTAAAGTTTTAGGTAAATGTATCACACTTAAATTAATGGTCAGAGCAGAGGAAGCACCTGTTGAGACAGCAAAATTTATGGGCCATGGCTTTTGCAATGTTCTTAATAAATCTACTAACCTAACAAATGCCACTAATGATGTTGAAATAATAACCAAGGAAGTTATTTCTCTTTGCAAAAAACAAAAAATAAATCCAAAAGAATTGAGAGGTATAGGAATTCAAATATCTAAATTAGAACAAGTAATTACAAAGCCGAACAATAATGGTATAAGTAAATTTTTGAATAAAAATAAAAATGTATCTTGCAACAACTGGACTCCAAAAGTGGAAAATAATGCAGGAACAAGCTGTGATGTTAAAAATCAGATTAAAGTTGAAGATAATACAAAGAATCCTGTTACACCGAAAAAGAAAAGTATATCCTTATCTATGAATAAATCTCCCAAACATGGTATAAAATCCTCACCAGTAAAAAGGAGAGGAAGACCTCCTAAATCACTTAAAAACAGCCTTACAATTGCTAAAAGTGGTATGGACAAGTTTCTTGCTGGAGAAATACAAGTGAAAGAAGAGTTACCAGTTCAAACAGTCCCAGAAATAATACAGGATGAAAAGCCAAAAAGAGCTGATTCAAACCCAGATGGATTAATGAGCCTCTCTTGGGAAAAAGTACGAGAACTGTTAAGGGCATGGTTGGATAGTGGGCAAGCACCAAAACTGTGTGATACTAGAATGATTGCTACTTATTTGAGTAAATTAGTTGCTAAAAAAGATATTGACAAAGTGTACATATTGATGAACTTCTTAAAACGAAGGACACATGAAATAGGCTTGGACATATGGATAGAAGTTTACAATTATGTTTTGGAAGATGTTCAAAATTCTATGATTGCTGTATACGGAAAGAAACTTTGGATAAACAACTAAGAAATAATCAAAACATACAGTGATGGACGCAAACAATGTAATAAAAGATAAAACTAATTTTATACACTCATTTATTCCAAAATTGTTTCTAATAAAGTTTTGAACATATATTATAATTAGGTACATCATTAATTTTTTAAAGATTTTATGCTTTTATCAGTGTTATTGTTTCTACGACATAAATGTATGTCTAAAACCTAGATAATGAATAAAAGGTGATGAAATTCAGTTTTTACACATATTAGAGGCATCTATATAGAAATGAGGAGCAAAAATGGCGACTACTAGTAAAGAGAAGTTATAAGAGACAAATAGAATATTTCATCTACCTTCTAGATATTAGAAATGAACTTTATGATGTTACAATTGTGATTTGAAGTGCTAATCCAATTTAAATTGTCATAATAGTTCTTAGAAAATTGTGAAGCATTGTTAATACTTAGGTTACATTTTAAAGTTGAAAAAATGGCAGTCAGTATCACTTTAGTTCAAAAGCACTAATATTTAAACGGGTAAAGAGTTCGCGTAATGTAAATACACTACAAATACGACACATGTAAAAAAATAAGTCCAATATTAATTAGCCACGGGTAAGATCTCGGTTACAACATTCCGTCGCAAGTCATCGTACTATAATTTATTATCACAGTTTTATAGCAAAATAAAATACACCTGCCCCATGAGGTAAAAATAAAGTAAAATGAAAAAAAAAAATACAATATTCTCTGATCTATAAAACGAAAGTCAGAAAATAAAATGTACTTAAAACAAAGCTTTCAGCTTTTAACTTAAAAATAAATTGATTTGTGACAACCATTTCAATATTATTTTAACCATTTCGTGTTACGCAGAAAGAATTAAACAGAAATCCAACATATAAAGAAAACTTAACTAAATTAATTATGCCCGTAACTCTTATATAGTTAGTAGATAATCAAATTATGTTAATTACAACAATCAGTTTTTAATTGGAACAAAAGAAAATTATAATCAAAGTTTAGACATAAGTTTTTGATTAATACTGTGTGAAATAGGTTTTAATCTATGGGTAACTATGGTAATTAGAGGTACTTTATTTCTACTAACTTGTTGGCTTTAAAAATGTTTATTAGTTTGTCTCATGCGGTAGAACTGACAGAAATGGAGTGTTTGAACTTTGAGTCAATAATGATTTCATCTCCGGACCGTATGTTGTACGAGTACAATTGTTTCGTAGGGTACTTCATTTCCTCCGGACCCTGGAAAAACTCCACAAATAAATAATAGAGTTAGTTTCGTCTGAATTAGTAATTTGATTAGTAAAAAGATAGAACTGAAACTGTAAGGAGTTAGATACCCCAATAAATAGTACAAAATTTGTACTTGGAAAACAATACTGTTATGGAGAATGGGTATAAAATAAAATATTCACCTGTGTATCTCTCAGTTCTTGGTCCACATAGAAGAGTCTCATTTTAGAAGCGGGGAAACCCGCAAGGCGTTCCAAACGAGTTTTCAAATCTGATACAGTTCTGAAAAAGGACGATTGACATATAAGCATATTTATTGAAATTTCTCAATCGGGAAAATATTGAACGTAGGCTTTGCTCATTCCACTCTTAGTTTTCACAAACATATCTTCCTCAACTCCCTTCTCTTTAATAAAAAAAAAACAGTTTGTTTTTAATACAAAAGTCACGACAATGGAGTTTAACGGTTAGCTATGCATCTTTCATACATTGTTAAAAAATTGAAAAAGGGAACGTCACATGACTCGTATGGATAAATACTCACCTGTAAACGTCGACGGTGCGTACTTCGCTGGTGTCCCCGCAGGTGAAAGTGATCTGCACGCGCTTCTCCGGCCGCAGGTCCACTGACACCAGGGGGTCCAGTTTGCCATGCACTCCCACCAGCTCCCAGTATCTACACAAAATGGGTAGACTAAAGAACATTCTCCACACACTTAAAGATTCGTTTAGTACCAAAAAGCAGTACTTGTATGTTATTCGTTATCAATAACAGCTTTATCGATATTTATTTGTGTTAATGATCATAAATTTATGGATATTAAGGTTAAAGCAATATTTACGCAAATTCCACGCCCACTGCGTTCGTCGATAGACCTTCACCTAACTTCCATATACATATTAATGTAAGCATTAAAATTGTCTAACGTAAATATCATATTTTTGTAGTGTATGTACAGTAAGATATATAGTAGGAAGTTTAGTTCTTGTCTATCTTCTTTTAAATTCTAGTCATCTTCCACTTCCTACTCCTTTATCATAAGAGAAGGAGAGATGGATCAAACAGAGGAGAGGATCCTTATATAATTTTAAGTCATGTGTCCAATGAAAAAAATATAAGCTTGCGTTTGTATACCTATCCGGCCGATCAGCCTCCGGCTTCTCCATGTAGTATCTGATGAAAGCGCGCTCGGCTGCGTCGCGTTCCTCCACGGGCACGGCGCCACCGCCATTGAGCGTGCGCACGCGCGGCAGCCGCGCTACCAGCAGTAAACGACGCTCGTGTTCCGTCGACTCAAACCGCTCCCACAGCGGCCACCCCTGATACATACAATAAAATTATTACAATCTGGCTTTAAAAATAACAAACAAATCGGCGACATCACAGCTGTCAAATCTGGAAGTAAAAGTTATATTTTGAAAACAGTATTTTGGCAAAAAAAAAATTACTAGCGAGTTTTGATTCGAAAATGTAAAGGATTTTATAACCTGTAAATATAATCCCTGATCTCTGTGATTAAAACTTAACTTGAAAGATGGAAACCTCACATCTATAAATTGTGGTCTTGTGGTTTTGTCCATTGAATACTTGTTATGTATGTAACCACGGAGTAAACACTTCTCTCGCCGATTGATTGAGTTCATAAGTTTCATATTACAATGCGTTATATTTAAAGTTCTTGATTTAAGACATCTTATCTAATTTATAGGTAAGAAGCAAAACTACAAATCTAGTATGACAGCGTATTTTCAAACACAACTTTTGTGATAAACTAGCCGCACGAGACTCCGTCCTCGTGTTTGTCAAAAAAATAAAAATTAGGGGTGGACTACCCTTAATATTTAGGGGGATTAAAAATAGATGTTGGCCGATTCTCAGACCTACTCAATATTCTCACAAAATTTCATGAGAATCGGTCAAGCCGTTTCGGAGGAGTATGGGAACGAAAATTGTGACACGACAATTTTAAATATAAGATATAACTGCAAGCCTTCTCTGTATTTAAGTAATCCGACGGTTAATATACATTAGAAGAAAATAAACCACGTGGCAAAATGCAAAACAATAAACAATCTGATTTATATGTTCTTTGTTTAGAAAAACATATTATCCTTAAATAATGAATCAATAATTAAGAAAATGACGTCATGTCTTGAAGGTTAAAACTTGTTTGCATTATGTACGCTTAGTATCGGAGTACGTTATGTCCCTGACATTAAGGGAAAGGGAATAACTGATAAATTTTTACGTGGTATGTTTTACTATACAATTTCATGTACTTCTCAGATTTTTTTTGTGTCTAGACTGCATACGGATCTGTAAGTTTTCGTGACTATTTTTGTTATAAATTTATTGTAAATAAAATCATGAATAACCGTCTCCCTTTGTTACTTAGTAACGTATTGACTGAGCTTGTTTATAGCCTTCATAGGTTGTTTTGCCTAAAGTTGGAAGGCGGAAGACGATGCTCACAGCTGTGTATTGTAATCACCACTTATTGAATTGAAATAAGATTCTCTTTTAAAATTATATATGTTAATTCAATCTACTTTTTGCTTATTGTTATTACAATTGAAGGCTTAAATAATGGGTAAAAATACGGTCTGCAAAACAGGTCATAGATTGGATACCATGATAGGATAATCGGCACCTTTTGAGCATGAAAACTTTGTTTTATATGAAATGGTTAACAGAATTTTAGTTCTGTAAAGAGAGTGATTGTTCTTTGAAGTAGTGGGTTGTCCTTAAATTGACCTAAAAAATGTTAGAAATTAATTTTAAATTGTGAAGCTAACGTTTAATCGTCAGGACATCACATAGTCTGTGAATGTATATTAATAGTTACATTTAAGTATGGGGTCAGTTTATAAATTTCAATATAACATAGAGTTCCGTGTCACGCAGTAACGGTTCGGTTCCAAGTCATTAATTATGATATCGATTCCAATTCACTCATTTCCTTTCGATTAAAAAATTCAACAATTTGCTTGTTTGATCAGCCACAATAAAACAAGTTTGTTTTCATACGCTCTATACATCGTCTAGTCTAGACGACCCTGTTTTTGTTGCAATGACAAAGTCAAAAAGCTAAATATTATCAAAGGTCTAAATGATTAAAACAATATCTTAGTAGTCAGCTTATACACGTTCCCACTGAGGGGATTGAGTCTACGCTGACCGAGTACAGATTGGTTGACTACAAAGTCATCTTTGAATTTATTTAACAGTAGTAGAGCCCGCTTTAACATCTTCGCACGAATCGGCCAGGCTCGCCCGGTGAAACACCACGACCACACAGAAGACAGGCGTCAAGTGGAACCAATCCCGCGTTTCGTCTGATGAGCGTGCGTCCCGGAGGCCTAAAATTTAGTCCTCTTTCCCTTTCCACCCTTTTTCTCATAAGGAAAGGATGGGAAGTGGAAGTGGACTTACCGGATAAGAGGATGCATGGAAAGGGAAAATATTATCTTTCTGTGCATCCTCTCCTCCGTCGATAAAGGTAGGCAACGCATGTGCAATTGCGTATGTATATGGGCAACGGTCACTTCGCTATTTCAGCGATTTCAAGTGGCCGCTCGCTCGTTTGCCACCTTATGATATAAAAAATAAAATCGCAAATATACGTCGATGCACCAACGATATTTTCCTTATTACATTGGTAAATTATTAAATTTTGTACTGTAATTTTCTCAGTGCAGTCTTGTGTATTAATATAGTTGAGAGGAGTGCATTTTCCGATAGTACACGAGCAAGGGAATGAACAAACATACGGAGGGGAGGTTTCTGGGTCAAGCCGCGCCGCCGCCACCCGCGCCAATATAAATTGCTGCTCTATTGAACCCGCTTTGTATTACTTGTCGTACTTTATACCTGCATTCAATTATTGAAATGTTTGCTCGCAAAAGTTTACGAGATAAAACAAAAGGTTACTCTTCACGTAGTGTGTAGGAGAAGGTGCATTTAGAAACGAGCAAGAGTCACAAACAGAATATATTATGTCTTAAGTTTGATCAAGAATAGAAACCAAAGTTTTGACTACAACATAGAATGTGTCTCTTCTGATTTATTTTCCGGTCATTTCAATAACAGGTTTACGTCCCACAGGTTCAGAGAACAACAGATTTGACCCGTGCGAAACGTTAGACGCGTGGGCCGACCGTCTGCGACCGTTGGATTCAAATATGATTCATTCGCTTGTAAACCGTCAGGTTATTTTCCAATTTACCGACGTGCGAGATATCAAAACGTTCGATTTTATGCATAAACTGCATTCGGTGCGTCATTACATTAGGGTAAAGAACACAAAGAAATATTTGCTCTTAATGTCATTTGAACGCATTTAAAATATCGTTATGAAGTTCAAATAAAGAATTCAGCGTTCCATGTAAAGTATATAGATATTGAAACGGATATTCATTGGCTTTTATATCGATTTTTTCATCGCGTAACAATTTTATTTAAATTTGTAAAAAAATTATTAATTATCTATTGACGAAGAAAACAAATGAAAAGCTTTTTTTCTCTTGATATTCACATTCACTTAAGTCATTGAGAATAAATAGACATACAAATATATACGTCTGATGCAATACTTTGATAAAGTTAAA